TCTCAAAGGTGCAAATGCTGTTCACTATGGTAACCTTGTAGTTCTGAACTTTAAGAAGCTTCTGTTTTTCTGGACTTCTGCCGGTTTCTCTCTCTCTCTCTCTCTCTCACACACACACACACACAACTGCCACATATTTGTTGCCCAAAGATTAACTGTTTGGCAATAGTAGGGTTTGAACTCAGGGCTTTGTGATTGCTACGCAGGCACTTTACCAGTGGACCAAACCTCTAGCTCTATTTTGCACTGGTTATTTTTGAGATGTTTTCATTTTCTCTCTAAGCATACGCCTGGGCTTTAATCCATCTACTTTAGGTCTTCTTTCTTACCTAGAATAACAAGCATCTGCCATCACACTTAGCTACCAGTTGAAAAGGAGTCTTGTGAACTTTATTCTGCCCAGGCTGACCTACAACTATGATCCTCCCAATTTCAGAGGATCATGATTTGAAGCTAGCCCAGGCAGGAAATCCTGTGAGACTCTTATATTGAAGCACTAAAAAAGCTAGAGAAGTGGAGCTATAGCTCAAGTAGTAGTGCTAGCCTTCAGGGGGTGGGGGGTGGGGGGTGGGGGAGGGCAAAAAACAAAAACTCAGGGACTGCACTAGGTCCTAAGTTCAAACCCCAGGACTGACACAAAACTACAAAAGCAAAAATCACACTTTGCCTTTTAATAATATTCTGGCAGTACCTTAACAGCAATGACTATAGATCTTCATGATTTTTTTAACAGCTACATAGCAATTCATTACATGGGAGTAATCATGTTGTTTGGCCAACCCTCCTAATCCTGTTATGCAATCAATAACTTTGTATGTCTCTCTCTTGTCACATTATTTTCTTAGAATATCTCAGGGTGATTACTAGTTTAAAATATGTAATTTTTTTCTAGCCAACTTCTTTATTAACATTAGAAACTCAGTATTCAGAGAGGAAAAGCAATGTGACCAAGGTCACACAGCAGGTTAATAAGGAATTTTGCTCTTACAGCACAAGTGAATCAATCCTAAAACAATTAGCAATGATCCCTGAAACTAAAGGCCTGGGTCACAGAGCTGATTATAAGAACTGGGAGAGTTTTGAGGATGGAGTGGCAGATTTTCATTGCCCAGGAGTTTCTCAACAATTTCAAGTAATTTTTTCCTCAAAACCTTGTACAGTATATGTTTTTGTCTTCCCCTTTCCAGGGATTGGACCCAACTACCTCAAGAGGTCCTATTGCACAGGGACTGGGAAGTCCATCAGAGACTGCAAATTCAACACCACGTCACACGGCCGCAGCCATGAGGAAGATGTTAGTGTGAGAGGCAATCTTCCCTTTGTAGGCTTCCAGAAAAAGGTGACAGCATGCTCAGAGGGGGCTGTGCTGCTGAAACTTCAGAGTATACAGACCAGTTGTCCTTGCTCTGAAGAACCATCCTGAATTTCCCAGATGAACCTATAAGAGGTCAGGTTCCATTACTATCTCTGATTAATATCATTTGTTACCCAGCATTTGAAAATGTGACCAATTAGAAAAGAGGTATAAACACCAACTCCTTAGTGGCAGAGGTGGAAGCATCCAGCATGGGCTGCATGCTGCCCTGGGATTGTACATGCAGTACAATGGGAACTCAAGTTCTTTTGGCAAGGTTACCATGGTCTACCACACCTGCAGCATCCTTGCCAAGTGTCCTTCTAAGAACCCTGAGTATCCATGCAGGCAGTGGGTCTGAAGATCCCGTTGACCAGCTCAGTAGGCAGTGGGAAACAAGATGAGACCAACAGCATTACAGCCAGAGACATTCTGTTCTGGAGGCAAGACCTCCAAAGTCAGCCCTGGCTTTCTTTCTGTGAGTGACCTTGCCCTGAGGTAGCCAGTGGGATGAATTCCTCCTTGTCATGCAGGAGATCAATCCAATGCTAATTACATGGCCAGGAAATTCTATGTAATGCTTCCCACTATGCCTCAAATGATTAGGTCCTGTGCATCATCAGGCACAGAGCTGACACACTTGGTATCACTTCCTGAGAGTTTAAACAGTTAGCAAATGCACACACCTCAGGATGAAGGATGCTTCCCCTGCTGGGCCCCTACCTGGACAGTAATTCTTAACCTTGGCTCCAGCATACCAAAGGTGCTACTGCACCAGTTGGCCATAGCACCTCATATAGTTGACAACCCGATAAGGACATAAGTGTGAACTGTACAGCACAAGGCTAAGCCATGCATCACTTGTGGGTGAACAGGAATGTACCCATAGAGGGGGGCTTGCTGCCTGAAACACCTAACCATATCCCCAGGGAGCTCTGATAAGGCTATAAAATGTGGCCAGTCATCAGTGTCCCAGTATGCTTGGCACTCTCGAGATAGCTTAAGAGTTGAGTGAAATCATAGACTTACACCAAAGTTAAGTTTTCTACAACTGTTTGTGGTTGGTAAAGCGAGCCAAGCTAAGTTCTGGCCATGATGGCACACTCCCAACAGCAACAGTCCTCATTTTTCTAGGGCCCAGGCACAAGGTAGTGATGGCTCAGCTGAAGGCTCTGTGTGGGAAGGTCTGCACACCTTGATGTCTGGCTTCTCTCCTCAACACACCTCCTGGAAGACTTCCTTCCCTCTGGATAGCTTCGCACACTCTTAGTGTGGCTGCATGACAGGCACAGGGCACCGAAGGGGCTCAGCGGTCAACATTTCCACGTTTTATCATGCTACTGGTCATCAAGAGCTGCCAGACGGGGGCTCAGGAATGGAAATTGTTTCTCTCAATTCTGGAGGCTAAAGGTCCAAGATAAGGCATTGAGGGGTTTCTCCCGATACCTCTCTGTCCCTGGTTTGTGGACGACCAAAATTTCTCATTGTGTCCTCAGAGGGACTTCCCTCTGCTTGTGTCACACACAGATTTATTTGTAAAAAGGCTCAAACTGTTCTTTAGGAAAGTTATGCAAACTTACTGTTCCAAAGAATAAAACGTAGAATACTTATCCCCCAGCTACAGATGTAAACATATAGTCTGGACCTATAGTCCCCCATAATGCAAATGTAAGGAAAAGACCAAGTAAATAACTTATATCAATGTAATGCCAGAATCAAATAGCTTGCAAATTTTAAGATATAAACAAATCATATTAAGTGAGGTAAGCCAAGCTCAGAGACAAACAGCGCATGTTCTGATATGCAGAAGTTAGATCTAAAACACTGTGATGTAATGAATGATACAGGATTCTAATATACATACTGAAACAAACTCCAAGATATGGAAACAAAACACTTTTTTTTTTTTTGCCCTGAGTTGAGGGCCTGGCACTGTCCCTGAGCTTCTTTCGTTCAAGGCTAGCACTCTTATCATTTGAGCCTTAGCACCACTTCTGGCTTTTCCTGTTTATAGGGTACTGAGGAAATGAACCTAGGGCTTCATGCATACTAGGAAAACACACTCTACCACAAAGCCACATTCCCAGCCCCAAAACACTTAAAAAAAAAGTTTTTACTTTTTGAAGATTCTGTCTTCTTTCCCTTATGTATGGTGCACTCATGTGTACATCTTTGGGAGAGTGGGACGGGGGGCACGAACTTGAGGGAAAAGTGTGCAAAAGTGCAGCCGTGGAGCTCACTGGACACTGATGGAAGAAAGTGAGCTATACAACTCACGGTGGAGCCGGGAGAGGGGACGAGGAGAGGAGGAGGAACAGAGGACACTACACCAAAGGAGATGTGCATCTCTGTCAATCACCTCTGTAATAACAATACAATATTTTTAAAGATATGAGGGAAAAAAAATAGGTCTCTGTTTAAACCACTTCCTAATTATTTTCTGTTGGAAGTTAACAGTTTTCACAGATAAAATTATTTAATACTAAAGATAAACAATGACTTTAGTTATCACAAATGATCGTTCAGACATAATTACAGGAAGTATGGAGAAAAGCCAGATTATACTTTAAAATGGGTATAAAATACCAGCAAATAGTAAAATCATGGAAAACAATACTTCAGTATAGAATGCCACAGACACTATAAATGCACCTTAGAGAAAAAACAATATGAATATTAGAGATGGGGTAGGTGATGGAGGACTACTGTTGATCAAAATCCTGTTTTTCTTTTCCTCCTGGAACTTAATCACCTTTCATTTCTCACCTTTTTTTTTTTTTTTTTGGTCAGTTCTGAGGCCTCAACTCTGGGCCTGGGCACTGTTCCTCAGCTCTTCAGCTGGAAGCTACCACTTGAGAGTCAGCCCCACTTCCGGCTTTTTCTGCTTATGTGGTGCCGAAGAATCGAACCCAGGGCCTCATACATGCAAGGCAAACACTCTACCACTGAGCCACCTTCCCAACCCCATTTCTCACCTCTAGCTATAGCCATACCCATGCCATGGCTCAACAAGTGTCGGTGGAAACAATGAAAACTCCAAGTCTTTGCTAGCATATCTCCTAGCCAAATGGACAGGTTTTGGTTCCCATGTGGCTAACTACTCAAACCTACTTAGAACTGTGATGTGAGTAACACAAGCATTGTGTTCAGCCACTGTGTTCGTGGGGTTACCCCACAGCTAGATACCCTTTTGTCGAACAGAGGTGGGGGTGCAGGTAATGAAGAAAGTAGCATGAGAGATACCTGGCATAAAATGGTAAGAAGGTTCCCAACCTGACTAAATAAACTGTTATGATTTAATTCTCTCTTTTCTAGTTTCCTTCTTTTGCTCCTTTCTTAATCTGCCATTTTGCGGCAAGCTTGACGATCCTGACTACCTCTTTGGAAAAGTATATTTTAAAATTGGGCTAAAATTTAATATTAATTTAAAGATATTAAAATAATCCCTTGTTAAACAATTTTGACTATTTGGAGATATTTTCCAAACAAAGTTTTCCATATGACACATGAAAACTAAGTAATAGTTCATCTATATGTCTACAAAACTGGTGATATGAAGTTCATTGTTTGCCCACCTGTACTGACCTGAAAGCTACCACAAAGCCACCACTGTCAGCAAGGGAACAAAGACACAATATACCATCAATAAATTATATATTACATGTTTATTAAGGGTACAACTTTCATGTAAAATTTACATTTTATGAAAAAAATCAAAAATATTTACAAAATTTTGGAAGATAGATGTGCATTGTTCTAATTACAACCCAAAGTAGTAAATAACAATCCTTAAAAACTCACATTTGTTAGAGTTCTGTGTTTACAAGTTCTTAGTTAAAGAGGCAGCTACTATGTTTATTGCTATACATAAGCAAGAACCAGCTTGCTCATACATTTCGCATTGAAAACCTACTGTTTCTTTTTCACTCCATTAGATTTTTAAATGAAAAAAAATCAATATAAACTCATATGGCTTCAAACTTATAACCTGTACCCAATACAAATTTATATATCAATACTTAATATGAAGACTGTGATAATTAAGAAAGTGCAGAAGTTTAACCATTTCACTAATTTGCACATTTTTAAGTAATACTTGATTAAAAACAAACAAGGTGAGTATAATAATGTCAGAATTCCAGTAATAAAACATTAACTGCCAAAAAAAGCAGTTTGATTGCAAAGCAGACTTACAGTTAAAATTCCAAGAGGGGGGCTGTAATTGGCATTTTAAGGAGCACAATATAAGAGTTAGAAATTCTAATTTTGCTATTTAGTAAAGACGAACATTTTAGCAAAATGTCTTATTTGTTGCTTTAGTCAAATCTAAATTTAGAACGGGACTAACACTGAATATATGAAAACGCACATACTGTGTTATACATTTCTAAGGTGTGGATTTCCTCTGTATTTAGTATAACAATATGTTACATAAATGGCTAGTAAAAAGGCTTTTGTTTTCTGTAATGTTTAACAGGAAAATTAGTGGTTTTATATAAATTGTCACATAACAAAGTATTACTTCTACTATGAAAAATGAAGGGCACTGGTATTTATCATTATAAATAAAATTCCCATTTGAAAGTTATGCAATTTTGTGTAAAATATTTTTTCAATTAACCAGGACTTGTTAAAATGAGGGTTTTACTATAAGTAGTCCATTTTAAGAAATGCTTAAGTCAACCTATCACTTCAAATAATTTACATATTTTTACCTTATGGGAATTAAGAACATAAAAATGTACAATTGTTCAAATTTTTAAATGAAACCAAATGAAAGTACTCTTCCTGTTTCCAAAAATGAATCTTTCTTTGTAATACTCATAAAGTACTACAAAATTCAAGTCCACAAACCAGTAAATAACTGTGTGAAATTTCAATGGTAAAGAGAGTCAAAGGAAATGCTACCTTGCGAGTTAAAATACCACAGCTGCCAATTCATTGTCAAACTTTCTCAGAATTTATCTGTTTCACATACTTTTCGTGAGATTCATGTAGAATATCTGAGGTGATCACTTAGGTTTATTTCTCTTTCTAGTGGCTACAGTGTTATCACTAAGTAAGTGAGCCAGGGTAAATATAAATTATTCTTTAGTTATTTTGAATTCCCTTCCCAATTGCAGGACAGAGGTATTTACAAAACTTGCAAATATCTTGTAAAACTGCTTGGCCACTGGAAGCTTCTGAATAGAAGATCCAGCTATGAGGACGTGAGGCACACTAATGGACATAGGTAGATAGGCACATTTCTGGGTTTTGTTATTGTTTTAAAAGGCACACATTATGTAAAACATACAAAAATAAATTAAATCTACAGCATTAATTCATCAAAACAATCATAACTTTTATAAAGTTAATTAACCGCAGAAGAAAGTTTTCTGCTGTCTTTTGCAAGCTTATTTTAAAACACATTGCACTTGAGAATTTTAACAAAATCATATAAAATACCACTTACACTTTATTAATATGTGATGAGAATCAAATTATGTTGTTTGCATACAGCTTGGACTCTGGTCTCATTACCTTATGGCACATAACTCAATTTGATTGAGTGTTTTGAGTGACCGTTATTCAAAAATTTTAAATTCACATCTCCTTATATCCATCCAATATCAAACTTAAGAAATTTCAGAGCTATCCAACCCTACAAATTTACAGAAAGCTAAATTTTGTGCTTGCTCTCCTGAAATTATAGGCCTATTTTTTGACACTATAGCGACTTTTTCAAACAGATATTGAAGATAACTTAAAATTTCGGCCTACAAATACTTCATTTTTACTTGAGAATCTGAATAAATGTGCTTCTTGAATATTGCATTTGATCATTACTGTGTAGAAAACCATTTCAGTGCTATTTCTTTCAATGACTCACTTTGAAAGTGCGATTTAATGTTTGTTGTAGTCAGCTCTCAAATATGAAGTTTAAAAGACATCATATAACTTAGAATAGTGTTTGGAAAGAACAGATAATGCAGAATGGAAGGTCTGAACTATTTCCGGAAGCTAACCACTTTCATAGGTCCATCAACAATCCGCTAGGTATCGTCCTGAAAAACAATAAGCACAGCTTTGCAATCACACTTTCAAATACACCCAAGGAGGACATTTCTCATTGTGGTTACAGACATAGCACCCAGTTCCCATCTGCTGTTTACAATACATTAGAGTCATATCACAGGTGTTCAGCTATACTGACCACAGGAATGCACTCAACAGGTAGGTATGTCTCTACCTTATACCAAGAATGGAACAAAAAACATCCATGTCTTTAGCTTATAAACTTGGTAATTGTTTAGTAGATGTTAGAATATAAGTATTTCCCACATACATTAAGCAATCTGAATCCTCCCAACTTACCAGTGGCAAATCGCTTCTTTACTAAGGAAAGCCTATACCCAGTGCCAACAAGTTCAATGTCTACTCCTGATAGGGTACTTCCCTCACTGAGGAATTGCACTGCAAGTGTTGTGGGTTTACTGGGTCCTTCTGAAAGATCAAATTTTGCTCTCAGGGACCCAGAACCTACAAAGAAAAGAAAAAGGACTTACACAGAGCAAAACACATTGCTACCAAATAAAATCAAATGAGCACATAAGCTAAATTCTATCCATTCCATATTAAGTTCATGAGATAAGTAAAGAAACCACTGTCCTATTTCCAAACCAGATTTTATTCAGTGAATCTGAATTTTCACTAAGTAATTTTAATTCATGTTTCCCTTTGACTTCAAAGATCTTCTCTATTGAGAAAGGGAATAAGATATAATCAAGGGCAGAACAGGGGTAAACCCTACATAGGCAGTATAAAGTAAAAAACAAATGACTGCTGAGTACCAGATCACAAAATAGGAAAGGAAGGAAAAGCAGCTACCTATTGGGAAGGGTTGATTCAACATGACCATTTTTTATTCATTTTTATTTTTACCTGTCTAGCTATTTCAAAAGTCCTTGCTTATTTACATAATCATTCATTCAAAACACCTCAGTCTAACAGCATGGCAGAAACAACAGAACAGTAATTATAATGAATATGAAATGTTACAAAGGAGAAGCCATTAGGCTCAAAAGTGTACCTCTCTTCTGGAAGTTATAAATGGTGATGGTGATGAGTGTGTTTATTTATGTGGTATTATGGATTGAACTCAAGAGTCTACTACTTGCTAGGCAAGCACTCTATTGCTTGAGTCACACTATGCTAGTCTTTTGTTATGCCAGTTATTTTCAAGACAGTGTCTTGCTTTGCCACCCATGCTAACCTAGGACTTGTTGATCCTATCCTGTTTCTCTGTTTTGAGGATGACAGACACACACTAGAGTTAGACCACTGTGCTTTCTTCCCCATAGTTGAGATGACAGGTATATGCCACCATGCCCAGTTATTGGTTGAGATGGGAATCTCGTGAATTTTTTTTTTTTTCCCCCAGACATGCCTCTAACACCAATTGTCTGTCCCTGTTACTTCTTCTTTTTTTTTTATTGTAAAGATATTATACAGAGGGTTACAGTTACATGAGTGAGGTAATGAGTACACTTCCTCTTGAACATTGTTACCCCCTCCATTGTTTTCCCCCTACCATCCCCTCCCTCCCTCCCTTCCCCGAGGTTTTTTTTTTTTTTTTGATTGTGATTAAGTGATTACATAATTTCAAAGTCACAAGTTCATTCTAACTTTCCTGGAGCAAATTGTCTATCACAGTCTGTAATATATAACAGTGTTCACATGTTATATACCATATTTGTGATCAGCAGCATGGGGATATTTAGTAGTGGTTCAACCAGATGAGCGGGAGTTCTTTGTTTCTTAAGTCCTGTTAGTTTTGTCGTATTACCTAACATTTTGGATTTAGCATCCACTTATCAGGGAGACCATGTACCGTTTGTCTCTTCGTTCTTGGCTTACCTCGCTCAACATGATTCCTTCTAGCTCCATCCATTTCCCTGCAAATGCCATTATTTTGTCATTTCTAATGGCTGCATAATATTCCATTGTGTATAGATACCACAATTTTTGGATCCATTCATCTGTGGTGGGGCATCTAGGTTGTTTCCATATCCTAGCTATTGCGAACAGTGCTGCAATAAACATGGAGGTGCACGTGTCCTTGTATATTGGTTCCTGTTGTTCAGGGTAGATGCCTAGAAGTGGTATGACTGGGTCGTAAGGGAGGTCAATCTTTAGCTTTCTAAGGACCCTCCAGACTGCTTTCCAAAGTGGTTGTATAAGTGTACATTCCCACCAGCAGTGTAATAGGGTTCCTCTTTCTCCACATCCCCTCCAGCATTTGTCGTTGGCTGATTTGTGGATGTGGGACATTCTGACTGGGGTAAGGTGGTATCTCAGGGTTGTCTTTATTTGCATTTCCTTCACCACCAGGGATGATGAACATTTCCTCATGTGTTTCTTTGCCATTTTTATTCTGTTACTTCTTAAAATACACACTATTGGCCAGGCACAGTAACTACATGTACATGACAGGATACTTCAGAGAACATAATGCGTTTCAAAGAGAGAGGTCCTATTCCAGAATAGCTACAGAACAGGATACAAGTACAGAACAGCAAATGAGAGAGAAATACAAAGGACCAGGCCATGTTAAGAAATTTATGAATGACTGGGCTGGGAAGGTGGCTCAGTGGTAGAGCGCTTGCCTTGCATGCCTGAGGCCCTGGGTTCGATTCCTCAACACCACATAAGCAAAAAGAAAAAAGCTGGAAGTGGCGCTGTGGCTCAAGTGGTAGAGTGCTAGCCTTGAGCTGAAGAGCTGAGGGACAGCGCCCAGGCCCCATGACCGGACCCCCCCCCCCAAAAAAGAAATTTATGACATGACTTTGGGGAAAACACCCAAATAATGAAGAATACCTTCCCTTCAAAACTAGTACTCTAGAAGGGAGGAGAGGAGGAAGAAGCAAAGAGACAGACAAATAGTAAAACAATAAACAATTTAGGAATCGAAAGAGACAGGAAGAGGGGATTTGAAATGGGGCCAAAGGAAAGAATAGAATGTATTTCAAAGATATTTAGGAGCTGGAATCAAGAGGGAAGAAAGGAACAAGAGTCTAGAAGGTTCTTGTGTTAAGGCAATTAGATAAGATTGGTGGGTAAGATCCCATGATCCTCTGTACCAAAGTTTAACACTATAAACAAAAGTGTAGAATGAGATATCATAAGTGAGCCATCCCATCTTCTTGTGCCTGGTTGTGAAGATCCAAGTGGCAATGAACTGCTATCTAATTCCAAATTCTCAACGATGTTGTTGGTGGTGTTTTCTTGTTTTTGTTTTCTTTTTGGTGCTAATCCTGGGGCTTCAGTTCAGGGGCTGGGCACTGTCCCTTAGATTTTGTATTGCTCAAGGCTAGCCTTTACCATTTGAACTACAGCTTCTGGTCTAGCTTTTTGGTTGTTAATCAGAGATAAGAATCTCACAAGCTGGGCGTAGGTGGTTTACGCCTGTAATCCTAGCTACTCAGGAGGCTAAGATCTGAGGAACACGGTTCAAAGCCAGCCTGGGCAGGAAAGTCCTTGAGATTCTTATCTCCAATAAAGCACTAGAAAACCAGAAGTGGCACTGTGGCTCCAATGGTAGAGCGCTCACCTTGAGCTCAAGAGTGCAGGGACAGCGCCCAAGCCCAGAGTTCAAGCCCCACGACCGACCAAAAAAAAAAAAAAATCTCACAGACTTTCCTTCTTGGGCTGGCTTTGAACTGAGATTCTGAGATCTCAGCCTCCCGAGTAGCTAGGATTACAGGTGTGAGCTACCAGTGGCCAGCCAAGCCCTTAAAACTTTGAACTTTTCTTTTTTTTTGGTGCTGATACTGGGGACTGAACCCAGAGCTTTGGGTGCTAGGTAAGGGCTCCACCATATGAGCCATGCCCCTGTCCTTTTGTTTGTATTTGAGTTAGTCTAATTTTGCTCAGGCTGACCTTGAACTTGATCCTCCTGCCTCCTAAATAGCTGGGGATTAGAAGTATATACCACGACATTTGGCTAACTCTTTTTTTGGGTCCGGTCGTGGGGCCTGAACTCTGGGCCTGGGCGCTGTCCCTCAGCTCTTCAGCTCAAGGCTAGAGCTCTACCACTTGAGCCACAGCGCCACTTCGGGCTTTTTTCTTTTTTCTTATGTAGTGCTGAGGAATCGAACCCAGGGCCTTGAGCATGCAAGGCAAGCGCTCTACCACTGAGCCACCTTCTCAGCCCCTTGGCTAACTCTTTCGACTCTTGATAAGCAATTTAGTTCTGTGAAAGTTCCACTATGGGTGAAGAACAGTCACTTTGGCAATCTTTAAACTTTAGAATTATTTCCTGTTCCTTTTCTGCATACAGGGCCAGAAAAGAAAAGATTTTTGACAGCACTCAAACTTATAACTCTTTTTAAAGGCTTGACTAGCCATGTCAAAATCACATTTAGGAAATTTTTCCATTTCCTCACATAGACATTCTCATACCTGAACAATACAGGAAAATTATTAAAATATCTGATCAGAAAATTTGGGTATTGTTTTTGAGAGAACAAATTCGCTTCTTGGTAAGAATTTGAAATTGTAGCACAGTTTCAGTAAATAGGTGAAAGACATCCTAATTTGCTTGCTAGCTGAGCAAAACCCAAAATGCCAGTTTAATTCCTGACTTATTTCAGTGTGGTTCCCCAAAAGCTATATAGCTAGGGTAAAAGTCAGCAGAGCTGGACATCTTGAAGGAGGAACCTTCACGTACCAAACAGGAAAAAAGGTTAAGCTTGGTTGTTACACTCAAAGTGTGATTTTCTACTATAAATCTGATTCTACATAAAAGTGTAAGTGAACAGATAATTCAAATATGTTCATGTTCTTTTACAAAGAAAGATTAGGACAGAAACTACTGGTGCTCAAAATGTTCCAATTTAAGCAAAATTGAAAATGCCAAAATACGTACTCAATAGGCAAAGTTACTGAAAGCTAATTAGGTGTCCAAAAGGAGGAAAGAGATTTCCCTTTTGTTGTGTGTCAGTTGCAGGGCTTGAACTCAGGGATTGGGCACTGTCCCTGAGCTTTTGTGCTCTACAAGTCTGTGCCACAACTCCAATTCCATTTTTTTTCTGGCAGTTACTAGAGATAAGAGTCTCATAGCCTTTCCTGTCCGGGCTGGTTTCCAACTGTGATCCTCAGATCTCAGCCTCCTAAGTAGCTAGTATTATAGGCGTGAGCCACCAGAACCTGGCTAGATCTCTCTCTCTCTTTTTTTTTTTCGGTCGGTCATGGGGCTTGAACTCTGGGCCTGGGCGCTATCCCTCAACTCTTCAGCTCAAGGCTAGCGCTCTACCACTTGAGCCACCGCCCCACAACCGGACCCCCCCCCCCAAAAAAAAAAAAAAAAACTGTTAAAAAAAAAAAAAAGTGCAAGCTTGTACTAAATAGTATGTTAAATCAGTAATATGAGGTTACTGACCTGGGCTAGGTATTTCTGCTTATTTAAGCTTTATTTTTTCTTAATGCTAACATGTGAGTATAAGAAGCATTCATGTAACGTTTATGTAAGTTATAACAAAACAAGTTCTTTTCCTAAGAGAGAAAGAAATCTTGAGGAGACTTCTTAATCTCAGCTGATCCACTATTATTTAAGGTATTAACTTCCATCTAGTGGTCAGTTCTAGAACTGAAGTCATGATAGTCAAGAGGGAAACCTATAAATATGCCTAAAAACCTCAATGGAAACTGAGGAGGATGGAGAAGGCACATGCCTGCCTAGCATGCACCAGGTCCTGAGTTTGAGAAAAAAGAAGAAAGGGGCACACAAGAGCGACAATGAGCAAAAGAGAAAATCCACTTTGGGTGAAAACAAAAATAAAAAGCAAGCATATTCTTACCTCCATTTTCTGATTTTTCTGAAATGCCAGATAATTTCCATAAGGCTTTCATTTGTTCTGAATTCCTGTGGTAAAAATTGTCTAATATAAGTATCTTATTCACGGATGGATATTCAAAAAATAAATGTTTTAAATATTCATGTCACAATTGCACTTCTAAGTTGAATATTGGCACAAATTTGTTTATGATATAGTATAAACACAATACTGTATCTTTTTCAAATAATGGAAGTTTACAAACCTATAAGATTCTCACTTCAAGTGGTCAGAGAAAGAAACATTGAATGTGTGTGTCTTAGTACTTTAATTAGTTAAGGAAAACACCTTATTTTTTGGCAGTACTGGGATTTGAACTCAAGTGCCCCCTACTTGGTAGGAAGGTGCTCTACCACTTGAGCCACACCTTCCTCTTATAAAGAGGAAAATATAAGGGCTATTAGTTTATACTAGTATCAGTAGAGAGGACAGGAAATGTAGATACAAATGGAGTTAACTAATACTATTAAAAACTAAGCAGTGGGCTGGGAAGGTGGCTCAATGGTAAGAGTGCTTGCCTTATATGCATGAGGCCCCGGGTTTGATTCCTCAGCACCACATAAGCAGAAAAAGCCACAAGTGGTGCTGTGGCTCAAGTGGTAGAGTGCTAGCCTTGAGCTGAAGAGCGGAGGGACAGTGCCAGGCCCAGAGTTCAGGCTCCGTGACAGAAAAAACAAAAACCTAAGCAAACAGATGTTCCTATAGATACGTCAGATACCGTGTTTTAATCCTCTAAAATAATTATTTAAAATATTGTTATTTTGAAGAGGGTAAACATTTTGCTTAAGGGGAAAGAGTACAGAATCATTCACATCAAAACTAGTTTTATTTTTTATTTTTACTTGTTATTGTGGTTTGATTAGTTAAATGAGCAGTTTCTTTTTTTTTTTTGGCCAGTCCTGGGGCTTGAACTCAGGACCTGGGCACTGTCCCTAAGCTGCTTTGGCTCAAGGCTAGCACTCTACCACTTGAGCCACCGCGCCACTTCTGGCATTTTCTTATTATGTGGTACTGAGGAATCAAACCTAGGGCTTCATGCATGCAAGGTAAGCACTCTATCACTAAGCCACATCTCCAGCCTGAGCAGTATCTTTTATGGTGTGGTTTTATGGGAAAATGCACAAAACCCTTTTCAAACTTTAACTTTCAGAAGATAGGTTTTAAAAGTTAAAGACAGCAAAAATGTAGCATGAATTTAGAAATACATTTAACTTACCATATTGCAGGGGGAAGGGACTGCATGTTTGTGACTCCTCCATCCACTGGTACTACCACCTGTATGTTGGAAAGCACAGTAGGTGCCACCATAGCCTCTGGGTTGTACTTATAATCTACTCTTAGATCTGTGGTGCTGGCATTACATTTCCAGTACGTTGCAAGATTCAGAGGAGTGGACTGGATGCCATTTGATGTTACCTTTAAAGAAGAAATGAATAAATACTGTCTTTAGCCTAAACAATAAACAAATCATGTTTATGACAGAGACACTTGAACGTAAGAAATTACAGAATCGAAATTAAGTAGCAAAGGGACTAACTGATACTAGGCAGAGTAAAACAGACTCAGCTCACAGGAATACAGTTCACTCTCAGCATGTTGACCTGGGGGAATTACCTACACAGAAATAAGACATAGAGCAGGTTTACAGTGCATGTCCCTGGAGTCTACTGGACAAAAATCTGACTCCACAGCTTAGGGACAGTGCTTAGAAATTAGCATGTTATCTGGTGATTAGTATGAAGTCTGAGAACCTCTCAATATTCAACACAGAATTCCATGATTATGAATTAGAAGAGTTTAATTATGATAGAGGAATAAAAGGGAAGTTCACAGTGCAGTTCCACAAGCTGAGAATTTGGATACTTTCTATTTCAAATGTTTAATCATCTGACCTATGGTCCTTTGGTCATATAACTACCTTATTAAAAAGTCAAACAGTGATAAGGGAGTGAAACTGACTGCAGTACATAGTAAACATGCAATACAATAATGCCAGATGCTAAAAAACAGTCCAATATATAAGTAAATAAAACAGGAAATTTGTCCCTGGCATTCTTTTCTTCTCTAAGTCCGTTCTTCCTTCCCTCCCTCCCACCCTTTCTCCATCTCCCTCTCTTCCCTTCCCCTACTTCGGGTCCTTTTCTTTCTCATTCCTTCCTTCCCCCCCCCCTCCCCTCTTTTCTTCTCTTGTTAGTATTGGAGGTGCTATGGATCACACCCAGGGCTTTGTGTTTGAGAGACAAGTGCTCCACCATTAAGCTACATCCATGGCCTATTGCTTGGTATTCTTAAGTCTCCACTGTTACAGGTTAAGTTCAAATTCGTGTCTACTTTTATTTAGTATTTTGATCACAAATAGATGGCAAACAGTTTATCAAATTGATTGAAATATCCATTCATTAATAAATTTTCTAATTCTGAAACTGCTTTACACTTCTAGAATGAACCTAATTTGGCTGTGACATATTTATTCATTTAATGTTATGTCTATTTCATTAGGTATTTTTTTTTTTCTTTTTTGACAGTCCTGGCGCTTGAACTCAGGACCTGGGTACTGTCCCTGAGCTTCTTTCTGCTCAAGGCTAACACTCTACCACTTGAGCCACAGTGCCACTTCCACCTTTTTCTGTTTATGTGGTACTAAGGAATCAAACCCAGCGCTTCATGCATGCTAGGCAACTACTCTAACACTAAGCCACACACCTAGCCCTCATTAGGTAATGTTTAAATTTAGGATTTTTACAATGACACCACACTCACCTGATACTTTAATACATCTACATTATAATAAGAAGCAGTTGGATTTTGCTCTGATAGTTTCTTGAGGTAGAGAGTAACAGCTTGCATGTTCATCCAAAAATCTTTTGTGCTGGAGTCACACTGTGATGGATCACTGTATGTACACAAAGGAATATTTTCATTATTTTATTTCACTCATATGTACCTCTTTCCTTTGCCTCTAATAGTAACATAGTGACTTGGAAAAGACTAGTAGGAATTGAACCAAAAGGTGGGATAAGAAAACACTAATCTTAGAGGATAAAGAATGGAACACAGCCAAAAGAAGTGCTATCACTAACATAAAAAAAGAATAAAAAAGACAACAGAAGGCTGTTTAATATTAATAAATTATTTGTATTGCCTTCAAATCAGAATTATTTTAATGAAAGAAAAAGTGTCTTTTTGGAATCTATTTTTTATTAGCTTCCATTAGTTGTACAATGACTTTATGGTTACATTTTCACACATTTACAATATATTCCAATCTAACTCCTTCTATCACTCTGCCTTCCCCAATCCCAAAACAATGGAAAATATTTGTTAAAAAAAGAACTTCAAGGGGCTGGGAAGATGGCTCAGTGGTAGAGCGCTTGCCTTGCATGCCTGAGGCCCTGGGTTCGATTCATCAGTACCACATAAGCAAAATGAAAAAAGCTGGAAGTGGCGCTGTGGCTCAAGTGGTAGAGTGCTAGCCTTGAGCTGAAGAGCTGAGGGACAGCGCCCAGGCCCAGACTTCAGGCCCCACAACTGGACCCAAAAAAAAAAAAAAAAAGAAACTTCAAGCCGGGCACCGGTGGCTCATGCCTGTAATTCTAGGAGACTGAGATCTGAGGATCACAGTTCAAAGCCTGCAAAGCCAGCCCAGGCTATGAGACTCTTATCTTCAATTAGCCACCAGAAAACCAGAAGTGGTGCTGAGGCTCAAGTGGTAGAGCGTGAGCCTTGAACTGAAGAGCTGAGGGACAGTGCACAGGCCCAGAGTTCAAGCCTCACAACCAAGAACAACAAAAAAAACTTCAACATCAAAGACAAAACTACACAAACCTGAACACAAGTTGTGCATTTGGAAGAATTTGCTCAAGTCTGTTGATGTTTTTCACCCTGAAGCATAACACAGCTGGAGAGGGATTGCTAGTGAAGACTTTAATAATTCCACTTGGAAATGATATTGTCACATCACCAGTTATCTTCACAATACACCTGAAATTGGAATGTTGACAAGTGCTTAAAGGCTTATATGTGTATGTTATCGTAATTATGAATAAATTATTTCCTCAAAATAAAATTTAAATTTCTTATCAAGACCTACAATGCCCAATCTGATCTGGTACTTCTGGATGCATCTTCAATCACTTTCTCCCTTCTATTCAGGGATACAATTCACCTCATTGTCTGGAATATGTCAAGCATGTTTCTACCTCAGATCCTTCCACTCACTGACCATCCTAACTAGAATGGTCTTTCCCCATATACCTGTATGGCTTAGTCCTCCACATCTTTCAAATATCTGCTTAAATTTAATTTCAAAAAGATCCCTTGGTTACTCCCTCTAAACCTGGTTTATTGCAAACATCAATATGTGTCTGATATTTTTTCTTTACTATAAAGCAAGTTCAGCTCAGGAGAGAACTTTACTCTGTTTACTTAAGAATCCTCGGTATATATTACAAAGTCTTAGAGATAGTAAGTGCTCAAACATTTCATGAATGAATAGATTCATTATGTAAGACTGGTTATTCACCCAAACATAATTTTTTTTAAGGCCAGGTGCTGAATAAATTCTGCAAGAGCCTCATATTAACCACACATTGTAGGTCTCATAGAAAATGTCCCTTTTACCAGATATTCCATCAGATGGGTCCTCATGATCAAACAACTTAGGCAAGAGTGTAATAAACTGGGGGAAGTCATCACTTACTGCTATTCATAGCATTTTTTAATTTGAAAGAAAATCCTTAAGATTAAATAGCAAAAAGCAAGTAAATAAAAAAACTCTAATTTATAAAAGAATCTGAAGGGTAACTCTGAAATTTATCACCAAGTCCCTCCTCCTGGCCAGCATACACACACAGACACACGCACTCATGTACACACACACAGAAGCACATATAGGCCCACACATAAAACTTAAAAACTCACTTGGTGGGATCTGCTCCTTTAAAGTAGGCATTAACAGATTCTGTAAGGGCAATTGCTACAGGTAAGGCATCCTGATTTCCAAGGCTGACAGGACTGGGACCCCGTGACACACCTAGAATACACACAATCCACTGTTAAATCCTTCAGTCAGACTCACAATGTTAGGTTGTCACAATTGACTCAACTTCTGGTCTCAATAATGCCCAAGTGTAAACCTAGAGTTTACAAATTGGAACTAATACAAAGGACAAAGATCTGGGAGACACATCATACTTTCCTTTAAAATGGAAAAGCATGGGATATTTAAGTAACATCAAAAGGAAAAGGTCCCTGACTTGAAGAGCTAAAATTACTAGTATGTCTTCCTAAACCTGCAAATACCAAATTCTTTCAATCCAATACTTCACAGCACTAAACTGAAATATAATGTTCCACACATGATTCATTATTGTTGCAATTATCTTAAGTCTCTTGGATGCTTGTACAGCTTAAGTATTCCTTATCTGAAATGCTTGAGATGTGTTTCATATTTTGGAATACTTGCATAAACTTTACTTGCTGAATATAACACAAAAATTCAAAATCTGAAATTTTCTAAAATTTGAAACTTTTTAAGCAATATGAGGGTTCAAAAAAGTTTTGGATTTTGGAGAATTACAAATTTATTTCTGGATTAGGGATGCTCAACCTACATTACGTTAACACATTACCTTGCCTCCACGTTTAACTATTAATGTTGCTTAAAAGCAGAACACTTTGAGTCACATCACATAAACATCAACATTTTAAAAGTGTAACAAAATATGAACAGATTTAATCTATTATGTGAGCTGGTTTTATGGTCAAAATACCTGACAAACAATTGCAAAGGAACTGAAGTTTATTTTCTCATTGTTTCAGAGGGTTCAGTCCATGGCTGCTTGGACAAAACGATGGTGGCAGGATTTGTGTAGTGTGAGGGGGTCCTACCTCATGATTCCCAGCTAATGAATGACATGAAGTAGAGAGAGGAAGGGATGAAAGACCATGCCCCCTGGGACTAAAGAAACTCCTCCAGTCAAAGAGTTTCCACAACTTCTAAAATAACACTATTAGCTAGGGACTAAGAGCTTCTGGGAGCCTGTGGGGGACATTTCATATTTAAACCATAACACCTATATACATGTATTAAGGTTTCTTTCTTTTCTTTTCTTTTTTTAGTCTAAAGCAGCCCTCAAATACAGCGCATTGTTACTAGGTACTACTGGCTTACACCTACAATCTTAACAACTCAGAAGATTGATATCAGAGGATCATGGCTCAAAACCAGCCTGGACAGAAATGTCCATGAGACTCATCTCCAATTAACCACCAAAGAGCCAGAAGTAGAGCTGTGATTCAAGTGGTAAGGCACCAGTACTTAACATTCTTCTGTACTGATTTCTTAGAAATTTTCTAACTTGGGCCAATCTTGCAGCAAACAAAGACAGAAGCTCACACTGTAACAGAACACATGTTCTTTAATCCTTTCTAGTGAGAACTATTCTGATGAATGACAATACTGGTGAGAATACAGTGTCTTTATGCAGGAATTCATACTAGACAAAAAAAAATTGTACACTTAGGGTGAGTTGAAAAACGAAATAAAAAATCATGACTTAAAAAAAGAGCTGGGCCAGGCACTGTTGGCTCATGCCTGTAAATCCTAGCTACTCAGGAGGCTGAAATCTGAGGATCACAGTTCAAAGCCAGCCCAGGCAGGAAAGTCTGTGAGACTCTTATCTCCAATAAAGCACTAGAAAACTGGAAGTGGCGCTGTGGCTCAAGTGGTAGAGTGCTAGCCTTGAGCAAAAGAAGCTCAGGGACAGTGCGCAGGCCTTGAGTTCAAGATCCAGGACTGGCAAAACAAAACAAAAAACCAGAGTTATCACAATTCCAGGGAAGTATGTTTTGAGACAAAGATAACTATAACCTTTCCTTTTTTGGGGAAGGGAGGGGACATGACCCTCAGGGGAGGACGTACTGTCCTAGGGCTTGAACATGGCCTAGACACTGTCCCTGAGCTTTTTTTCTTTTTTCTGGTCATGGGTCTTGAACTCTGGGCCTGGGCCCTGTCTCTGAGCTCTTCAGCTCAAGGCCAGTGCTCTACCACGTGAGCCACAGAGCCACTTCCGGCTTTTTTCTTTTTGCTTATGTGGTGCTGAGAGTTAAGAGTCGCACAGTCTTTTCTGCCCTAGCTGGCTCTGAATCCCAATCCTCAATCCCAGCCTGCTTAGAAACTAGGACTTTCGGGGCTGGGAAGGTGGCTCAGTGGTAGAGCGTTTGCCTTGCATGCCTGAGGCCCTGGGTTCGATTCCTCAGCACCACATAAGCAAAAAGAAAAAAGCCGGAAGTGGCGCTGTGGCTCAAGTCGTAGGGCGCTAGCCTTGAGCTGAAAAGCTGAGGGACAGCGCCCAGGCCCAGAGTTCAGGCCCCACGACTGGACCAAAAAAAAAAAAAAAAAAAGAAACTAGGACTTTCAGGCATGAACCACCAGCACTCAGTTCTTTTCCTCTTTTTTTATTGCGATAACATACATATCCTTTGAATCATTTTAAGTGCATTCCCAATGCTAGAAAACCATGACCATCCACTGTTCTCATCTTGTAAAAGTGAAACACCATACCCATATTAAGCAATATCTCCCTGTGACCCCCAGCCTCTGGCAATTACCTCTCTTTCTGTATGAATTTAACTATTTTTTTGTTTTTGTTTTTTTTGGGGTCCAGTCATAGGGCCTGAAGTCTGGGCCTAGGCGCTGTCCCTCAGCTCTTCAGCTCAAGGCTAGCACTCTACCACTTGAGCCACAGCGCCACTTCCGGCTTTTTTCTTTTTACTTATGTGGTGCTGAGGAATTGAACCCAGGGACTCAGGCATGCAAAGAAGCGCTCTACCACTGAGCCACCTTCCCAGCCCTGAACTTAACTATTTTAAATGCCCCAAATAAGCTAAATTGAACACAGTATCTGAGAGCTCTGTGTCCTCAAGTGTCATCCATGTTGTAGCTCATGTCAGAATTCCCTTCTCTTTTAAAACTGAATAATAGTCTATTGCATGCATATATTACATTTTGCTATCAGTTTAATACGTCAATGCACAGGTGGGTTGCTACTGTAAATGGTACTACTATGAACAGGGATATAAAGCTATCTCTTTATGATTCTGGCTTCAAGCCAGGTGCCAGTGTCTCATGCCTATAATCCTACTGAGGAGGCTGAGATCTGAGTATTGCAGTTCAAAGCCATCCCGGGCAGGAAAGTTCCTGAGACTCTTATCTCCAGTAAACCACCAGGAAACCAGAAGTGCTATAGCTCAAAGTGGTAGAGTGCTAGCCTGAAACAAAAAAGCTCAGGGGCAGCACCCAAACCCTAAATTCAAACCCATGACCAACAACAATCAAAAAAAATTCTGCTTTCAGTTCTTTTGGGTATATATCCAAAAGTGGAACTGCTTGATCATATGGTAAATCTATTTATTACTTTCTGAGTAACAACCATTGTTTTCAGAGTAATGGTAACATTTCACACTCCCACTCAGTGCATTTTTCCTCATCACTGTCATTTTCTGTCATAATATTTTTTTTGGTCCCTACTGATGATCACACCTAGGGCCTCATGCAAATGCTTTACTACTGAGCTATCTTCCAAGTTCAATAATGTGGGGTTTGGTGTTTTTTTTGCAGTACCAGAATTTCAACTCAGGACCTTTCCCACTTGTTCCATTTGCTTGCTTGAGGCGGACACTCTACCACTTAAGGTGTCCCTTCAACCTAGTTTTTACAGATTATTTTGGAAACAAAGTCATTCAGAAATATTTCTGCTTAAGCTAACTCTGAACATGATCCTCTAAACCTCAGCTTCCTAATTAGCTAGAATTATAGGCATGAACCATCAGTGCCTGGCCCACTCATTTATTTTTATTTATTTTTAGGGTACTGAGGATTAAAACTTAGGGCCTCTTGCTTATTAGGCAAGCACTCTACTACTTGACCTATTGCTGTGCCCCCAGTCTCATAAGGAAAAGTATATAGCTTGCCCTGAGGAATCTACATCTGCAAATTCAACCATGGATTGAAAATATTTAGAAAAAAAATTGTGTCTCGTGAACATCTATAGACATTTTTCCTGTCATTTCCACACAACGTAATATAACTATTTATTTTATACATTATAAATATAAATATAAAACTACATCGTGCAATATAAATAACCAGATGACAAAGCACACAGGAAAATGTATAGAGGGTATATACAAATACCACATGTAGATGTCAAGAGATGTCAAAGGCTGCCTGTATTTTATTAAATATGAAATTATTTTTTCTTGAGCAACCTACACAAATGGATATGTAGACACAGTCAAGTATAACATTAATGTCTGCTACTGCTTTAACTGTAAATAGCAAAAGAGATCTATCTATAGGGATTATGGATGTAACTCAGTAGTAGAGCATTTCACTAGCATGCACAAGGACCAGGTTCAAACCCAGTACAAAACAAAATAGTAACTTATTGTTTTCAATATGCCATTGTAATCATATACCATGACTATTATGAAATATTTACAAATACACAACCAGTGTTTGGAAGACTGGGAGATAACTCAAAATCTATTAGCATTTGGCAATATCAATTTTGGTACTTTCTAATTTTATTTTCCTTTCAAGATCATATTGTACAGGTATATCTGAAGAAAATAAATTCATAGAGGAAGTATTCACTTAAGTCTCTCAGCAACTAAATTTACAATATTCTTTTAAATAATTTTTTAGAAATCTGTATTTTAATTAGAATATTTTTTGTTTTCAATTCCAGCTTAATTGCTGCTTACTTAAGTATGTTCTGTAAATCTGAGGTAAGGATACAAGGTATCTTTCTCTAAGAGTGGGCATTTATTTAAGTCACAAAACCTGAGCCTAACTCCCTCCTACCTACCTCTACTTCTATGATTTTATCTTTTTGTGATTTTCCACATGACAGCCTTTGCTCTGATAGTTTACATATTATAACTTGTTTGGGAAGGGGGAGGTTGGTACTGAGGCTTGAACTCAGGGTCTGGGTGCTGTCTTTTTCATTCAAGGCTGATGCTTTACCACTTAAGCTACAGCTTCACTTCCAGCTTTTTGTTTGTTTGCTGGAGATAAAAGTCTCACAGCTCTGGCTGGCTTAAATCTTGACCCTCAGATCTCATCTCACTAGTGCCTAGCTCCCACTTCTTTTGCAAGGCAAGCGCTCTACCACTGAGCCACCTTCCCAGCCCGTAGCTCCCACTTCTTTTGTAATCACTCTTTCTTCTTATTCAGATAGCTCTGACATTCAGATTTATTGACATATTTTAATATTGAGGGAAGAAGAGAGCAGGGAAATAGAAGAAAATACAAAAATATTACATTAAGGATTTGATGTCAATAGCTGTTGTACAGCAACTAGACATAATTAGCACAAAACTGAGATAGTTAATCTTAGTGTTATTCCTGTTTTCTGAGACACCAACATTGCTGGAAAAGGAAAAACTAGGTAACAAAATATTTTAGATACACTTTAGCATCATTAGTCAACATAAACACTTGCTTCTGATACTATACCTGGTGATGTCTCACAGTGCTTTTCAATTTCAGAGAGTGTCCCAATCAAATTATCATCTTCTATTATATTTAAATAAAACACAATATTGTAGGAAAACACTTTCAAGTAACAAGAATCAAACTTTCAAATGTAAACAGAGTTACATAAATGTCTTGACAAGTAAAATTTGAGGGTAAAGACTGTTTCTTATATAAAATCCATATCCAACTGCCTTCCCTGCAGATGTGTCATCTACAGTTGGTTCTCCTTTTGCCAGCACTGGCTGAAACCATGAACATCTTTGTTCCGATTCACAAAAAATAACTTAGTTTCCATCATAACCAGAAAGCTCTAAATAATCTAGGTAATGAAAAAGAACTAAAGATTACTTGACTCAGCTTGATTTTGAGTAGGACCCATCTAGTTTTTATGACTAAAATATATTCATATAAATAAAAATGATTGAAACCAAATATATAAAGTATTTGTTAAACCAAATAAAATATAAAGTTACTAAATTCAACTTACACAAAGTTATAGGATGGGAAAATGTTGTACATGAAGGTACATGAAAGGTAAATAAAATAGGTGATACAATGTTTCAACTTTACTTTTCCTTAAATGTCAGTACAGGGTTGAATTCAGGGCTTCTTCACAATTGCTAGTCAGACACTACTACTTGAACCACATCTCCAGAGTTACTTTTTTAGACAGGATCTCACTTACCTACTGTTGGAGTATTGGCAGCACTCAATGAAGCAGAAGATGAGATGGAGGAAGAACTTTCTGCCCGGGCTAAGGGAGCAGCAGGGGGTGGGCTGGTATTGGAAGTTACAGGTGGGCTGAATGGCCTGGGCTTAAAAACAAAGTTTTTATGTTAAAATAATTCCTGCTTTGCCAGAAAATGTTTTTTAAGTTAATGAGTATGATTAACTTTCAAATTTACTGCTTTTTCTCACCCCAAAACAGTCAAATTCTATTCCTAAGAATACACTGAAAGCTGAAACAGTTAAATAACTGATCAAGAGTTGTACTTAAAACATTTGTATTTTTAAAAGTATACTAGACAGAGATATGATTTTTTTTAAATTTTTTGGGACTAGAACTCAGGGCCTAGATGCTGTCCTTGAGGGTTTCTTTGCTTAATGATAGTACTCTACCACTTGAGCCACAGCCCCACTTCTGGCATTTTGGGTGGTTAACTGGAGGTAAGAGTCTCATGGACTTTCTTGCCTAGAATGGCTTCAAACCACAACCCTCAAAGTTCAGCCTCCTGAATTATAGGATTACAGGTGTCAATCACATGTAGCTCAGCTGCCTTTATTGTTTACACATCTATACCCATTTTCCTTTGTAACTCTTTGTAATGTTTCCTTACTAAGAAAGCTTGACCAATATAAAGATTTGAGAAAATCATTTTGGGGAGGAAAGGGAGGTAGTACTGAGGTTTGAACTTAAGGCCTCACACTTGCTAGGCAAGTACTTTATCCCTTGAACCATACCCCAAGCCATCCCTTTTTGCTTTTGTTATTTTCCAAATGTAAGAGGTTTTACTTTTTGCCCAGGCCTGTCCAGACCACTATCCGTCTATTTATGCTTTATATGTGCTGAGATGATAAGCATGTGCTATCAAGCCCAGAATTTTATTGTCTCCGAAGGGTTCTAGATAAATTAATTTTTGATTAGCTGGCTTGGAACCTCTCATGCTGCCTGAATAGCTTGGATTACGGGCATGAGCCACCATGTCTGGCTGAGAAAAATCTTAAGTTTGTGTTTTTTCTACTTTTGTAGAAACAAATAGAAAAATATAACCTCAATCCATTTATCTTTTACTTTGGTGAATATGTTTTTCCTTTTCAAACTCCTAATTCCTTTAGTAATATATAAGCAATGCTTTCCTAGAATGTTTCATATTATTTAAAAAAAAAAAAAAGCATATTTACCTTTTCTTCCTAAAGCCCCCCAAAAACTTGTCTTTTCTCATAGGAAAGACATGAAAAAAGCAAACTCCAGCACAATTCTATAAGCATTAATACATAAATCAGCCAACTCTTCAGTAGTAACAAAAACATATATACATTTCCATGAAAATTAACTTCATTAGATAAGCCGTTTTGTAACAACATCCTGATCCATTTATTGTAAAACACTTTTTCTAGAGTACAACTTTCTAGTGACTCACTACACTGAAAACATACAGCAAGGGCTAAAATGTAGCTATATTTTTCATTGTATTTTAAAGTTCTCAAGGAAAAGATAAAAAAGATTCTCATGTTTTTCTCTTATTTTTAAAACTGCCCCACCTATTACAATAGCTACTAAAATGTAGCTATGTTTACTGAGATTTGAAAAATTGTGGACTTTGAAGACAGCATACACATAAAAAATATAAAATTTCATTAGCAATTTTTATTCTAAACACATACTAAAATTATGTTTTAGGTAAACTGGGTAAATAGAATATATTCAAATTAATTTCGCCGACTTTAACTCTTTAATGTGCCTCCTAGAAAGCTGAAAATTATGTATATTGCTTGAGTAGTCATGATTTATAACAGTGCATCTTAAATATGAGTGCATTATCAGAATGCACTAATGAGCTTCTGACTTGTCTAGGGTGGAGGAAGACACTGCTTTTACTGAGTCACCAGTAAAAATGCCAATATTGCCAACCTGGTATCTTATTTTGAGCACCACACTCTAGAACAAGAATTATTTCTTGGGGTGGGAAAGGTGTGTTCTCTGATAGGCAATGAAAAATTATCAAGAGTCTTAAAATATGCACATTTAGTCCATACATTTAATTGACTACAAGTTAAAAACAGATATTCATCAGATACTGTGTAATAATGAAGACTTAGAAATAAATATCACATTTCTTTTAGAAATTTAATTCTGACAGTGTAGAAGACAGAACATTTTAGACAATGAAATATTCTGACAACTTCAAATAGTGATCCTGGGAATGCCTAGGGTATTTTCTTTGTTTGTTTTTTTGGGTCTGGTCACGGGGCCTGAACTCTGGGTCTGGGCGCTGTCCCTCAGCTCTTCAGCTCAAGGCTAGCGCTCTACCACTTGAGCCACAGTGCCACTTCCGACTTTTTTCTTATGTGGTGCTGAGGAATCGAACCCAGGGCCTCATGCATGCAAGGCAAGCGCTCTACCACTGAGCCACCTTCCCAGCCCCGCCTAGGGTATTTTCTATAAAAATCTCAATTGTGGGAATTGGGGAAAGGAAGGTGATGTAAAGGACTTAATTGTAATAGTTCCACTGATTTCAATACAGTAAGAATTTATAATTATCTGATAATTCTGCTACTTAAAATAAGTTTGTAAACCATGGAATAATTCATGATATAGAAAGACATTTTCCAAATATTTTCAGCTGAAAAGTAGAAATATGTAAAGTATGAGTATTTACTGATATACTTAGTAATAAATTTTTGAGCAATTACCTACACTCAACAAAGTCATAGTGTTTAATACACATGAAAGTGTTTAAGTGTTATGGTGATAAAGTATCATTACACCCACACTACCTACAGGAAACCAGGCTTCATAATAAATACTTTGCCTAATGCTGATCCACTAGTATGTGGGAAATAAGGTTGTACTTGTAATAACTATGCTTCATTGCCTTGGAACAAATTCTTATGCACAGGAAAACAACAAATAGGACTGGAGCCATGGCTCAACTAGTAGAGCACCTGTCTAGCAAGCACAAGGTCCTCAGTTGAAACTCACAATAGAAAAGAACAAAAGTGTTAACACTGGTTTTCTTTAGGTGGTAAAATATAGAGGGAATTTTTAATTTTCTGTGTTTTCTACTTTCTGTATTTTATAACTTGTTCATGCATTTCTTTTGTAATCAGGGAATGAAAACCAAGTGCTCACTTCAGCAGCATACATACTAAAATTGGAACAATACAGAGAAGATTAGCATGGCCCCTGTGTAAGGATGACATGCAAATTCGTAAAGTGTTCCATATTTTAAAAAAAGAAAAGAAAGGGCTGGGAAGATGGCTCAGTGGTAGAATGCTTACCTTGCATGCTTGAGGCCCTGGGTTCGATTCCTCAGCACCACATAAGCAAAAAAAGAAAAGCCGGAAGTGGCGCTGTGGCTCAAGTGGTAGAGCGCTATCCTTGAGCTGAAGAGCGGAGGGACAGTGCCCAGGCCGAGTTCAGGCCCCAAGACTGGACCCCCCCCCTCAAAAAAAGAAAAGAAAAGAAAAAAGAAAACCAAGATGGGGCTGGGAAGGTGGCTCAGTGGTAGAGCGCTTGCCTTGCATGTGTGAGGCCCTGGGTTCGATTCCTCAGCACCACATAACCAAAAAGAGAAAAAAAGCCGGAAGTGGTGCTGTGGCTCAAGTGGTAGAGCACTAGCCTTGAGCTGAAGAGCTGAGGGACAGCGCCCAGGACCAGAGTTCAGGCCTCACAACCGGACCCAAAAAAAAAAAAGAAAACCAAGATGTAGTAATTCTTACAATAGTCATCTCCTTGGCAGTTTGTATGTGGTCTTTCATTCCACTCTCCTATACCAGTAAGTCAGTTCAGTGAAATAGTGATGTAAATCATCACTTCATGGAACACCTATGGTGCTCTATTCACTGACCATTTCCTAACTATGTACCATGTGATAGGCATTTTGTAAAATACTGATGAAATTAGCTAAGCCAGTCTAGTGAGGGGAACACGGACAGAGTCTATACAATTTGAAGTATGCATTAACAGAAATAGAAGCAAAGAATATGGGAGTAAGCAAGAGAATTAGTTTAATCTGCTGGAGAAACAATGTCAAAAGTGCTCTACATAAACGTTCACATTTAGCTGGATCTAAAAGAGGTTAGTTTAGTGTACTACAAAAAACACTGAGGAGTACTTCAAACCAAGTGCACAATAAGAAAACATGGACATACAAAAGGACATAATGTACCTCCATGGAAGAGGGAATGTACAAAGCCCTAGTTTCAATCTCCACCAGCACATACATTTAAATATTAAGCAGTTACTCTGGTGAGGCAGGTTAGTGATTTATGGATTACAGGCATCCACAGTACATATGGAGATGTAATATGAAGAAAATAGTAAGTTAAAACTTTTAGAAATTTAATTGTGGCAATTAAACTAGCAATTAATGTTGAGATGAAGCAAAGCAAAACAGATCATGGCAAGAAGGTTGGTTTAGAAGAGCCTAATTTTGATGATTTTTGAAGACCAGTTTGTTCCCATTCCATATAAACTATAGTATATATCAGTTAACTGATGTGGACTCGACTCTCCTATGCATAAAAAAGCTAGACTAAATGTCCTCCAGGACTCTCCTGGCAGTATACCTCTAAGGCTTAGGGATATATCAACATTTCTTCCTCAATATCTAATTTTAGGCAGAACAAAATGTGAGGACAATGGGCACTGAATGGTGCTTTTGTAATGTGTTGATATTCTCAGGAATCTCCTTGTGGACAGAGGTAATAATAATACTGGTTTGGGCCAGGGGCATGGTGGCTCATGCCTGTAATCCTACTCAGGAGGCTGAGATCTGAGGACCACGTTGAGACTCTTACTTCCAATAAACCACTCAGAGAATTGGAAGTGGATCTGTGGCTCTAGTGGTAGAGTGCTAGTCTTGAACACAAAAGCTCACAGACAGCGCCCAGGCCCAGAGTTCAATCCTCATGATCCATAAAAAAAAACAAGCAAACAAACAAACAAAAAAATACTGGTTTGGGAAATTTTCTTTTCTTTTTTTGTTGATCGTGAGGCTTGAACTCTGGGTCTGGGAGCTGTCCCTCAGCTCTTTGACTCAAGGCAAGCACTCTACCACTTGAGCCACAGCACCACTTCAGATTTTCTGGTGGCTAATTGGAGATAAGAGTCTCACTTTCCTGCTCAGGCTGACTTTGAACTGTGATCCTCAGATCTCAGCCTTCTGAGTATCTAGGATTACAGGCATGAGCCCCTGGCGCCTGGCGAAATTTTCTATTCTTTAAGGACTAGAGCAGAAAACTTCAAGCACTTAACTGTGTAAGAAAAATATTGACATTTAAATTGAATGTTACATAATTCAAAAAATGAAAACAAGTACATACTATTTCGTTAATCCCACTGAGTTTGCCTGATGTAAGTTTTGGTCTGGAAGCAGGCCTTGGAGGTGGGACAAGGGTGCCAATAGAAAGAGGAGTTGTGGGCCTGGCTGGTAGGAAAAAGAGAATTAGAAGAAAATCATTAGAATGCAGTAATCCTTGCATAAAGACATTCTATTATAAAGGAACTGTTAGGATTAAAAGCTCATTTTCCAGGGGTTTTAAAATGTAATTGTGTTTGTTTGATGGAACCCATTCATCAAATATGTTTTTGAAGCTATCAATGATAATCTGGATAAAAAAAAAAATCACACTTTTCAACAAAACTGACAAATTTTATTCTTATTTATACATGTAAAAATTAAATCTAATAAGTTAGCTGGTAAGACTAAGCCAATTTGGAGTGAAATGTCTTTACTAATAACTCATCTTCTTTACAGACCGACCAAACTTTTACAGCTGTGAGCTCTGAATCAAAACCCTACCTTCACTAAACTTTGTTCATTTGACTACATTGTACTTTTAGGAATAATCAAAAGTATTCTATTAATTTGCTGAAAATATTTCCCCAAATCAGTATAAATTTTCTAAGAGTTCACAATAACATTTTACTTTGCTGAAATAAATTAAGTCTTCATATTTTTTCAATGCCATTTACAAATTTTGCAGGTTAGGAATCAGTATTTCTAATTTCTTTTGGGGGTTGTTTTTATTGCTTTAATTATATTTAAGTAGTTGTACAACTTAATGTGTCCATTTGTGTGTACAATGCTTCCTAACCAGTGTCTTGTCTTGCATCATTCTTTCTCTAGAACTATCAATATTAACTCCTAAAAACCCTTATCACTGAGTGAAATTGAAGTGTCCATCATCAAAATTCATAAATTTATTATATAATCAAAACAGGAATGAGGAATAGAAGCAAACATGCTTAGATTATCTTACTAAATACGTTAAAACAATTTTATTTTCTTTTTGCTTTGTCGGTCATAGAGCCTGAGCACTGTCCCTAATGTTTCTTTTTGCTCAAGGCTAGCATTCTACCACTTGAGCCACAGAGCCATTTCTGGCCTTTTCTGCTTATGTGGTGCTGAGGAATCAAACCCAGGGTCTCATGCAGGCAAGGTAAACACTCTACCACTGAGCCACCTTCCCAGCCCCAGTTAAAACAATTTTCAAAAACACTAGGTCTATTCTAAAATATGGCTGTGATGGGGCTGGGAAGTTGACTCAGTGGTAGAGCACTTGCCTTGCATGCCTGAGGCCCTGGGTTCGATTCCCCAGCACCACATAAGCAAAAACAAAAAAGCCGGAAGTGGCACTGTGGCTCAAGTGGTAGAGTGCTAGCCTTGAGATGAAGAGTTGAGGGGCAGCACCCAGGCCCAGAGTTCAGGCCCCACCACTGGACCCAAAAAAAAAAAATAAAATAAAATAAAATATGGCTGTGATTCAGAGATGAAAAACATAGTATGTGGGAAAAATACACTCAGCAAGTCCTCCACATTTACAGACATGAAAAATTAAAAACAATTAAATGGGTAAAGTATAATTAAACAGGCTAAAGTATACATATGAGGGAATAAAAAGAAATCTGGGGACTGGGAATGTGGCTCAGTGGAAGAGTGCTTGCCTAGCATGTATGAAGCCCTGGGTTCGATTCCCCTGTACCACATAAACAGAAAATCTGGAAATGGCACTGTGGCTAAAGTGGTAGAGTACTAGCCTTGAGCAAAAAAGAAGCTCAGGGATAGTGCCCAGGCACTGAGTTCAAGCCCTAGGACTGGCAACGAAAAAAAGAAGGAAAAGAAAGGAGAAGAAGGAAGGAAGGAAGGAAGGAAGGAAGGAAGGAAGGAAGGAAGGAAGGAAGGAAGGAAGGAAGGAAGGAAGGAAGGAAGGAAGGAAGGAAGGAAGGAAGGAAGGAAGGAAGGAAGGAAGGAAGGAAGGAAGGAAGGAAGGAAGGAAGGAAGGAAGGAAGGAAGGAAGGAAGGAAAAAGAGAAATCTGAAGGCCCTTGGCCACCAATGGAAGAATGAACTATAAAGGGCCTTCCCTTTATTAGGGAAGAAGAAAAGGTCATTATATTTTAGAAAATAAACATGTGTAAGTTGAGCTATCATTAGAAAGTGTTATCAGAGGAAGTGTAATACACATTTCGTGTGTGTATCACATCAAGCTTAGATTCTAAGGCCACTTCTTTCTTTCAGGAAGCACTGACCTTTCATGTTGCCCTCACACTTTATAAGGTGTATACTAGAAGAAATGTCCATCAACCTGAGCACTTCCTTGTGGTACGGTATCTACTTTAAAGACATGCTCATTATCAATGAAATCATTACTGATCTAAACTTCTACATTATTTCAACCTTGTGTAAGAGTTTTAACACTTAAAGCTCATTACTGTATATAGGAAGCCTCCAAGTAGTATTTATCATCTATCTGTCTGTCTGTCTGTCTGTCTGTTTATATCTATCCACCCATTACTTAGCTTTTTCTCTCAAGTCTAGCACTGTAGCTCTTTGGCCACACTTCCATTGCTAGCTTTTTGCAGGTTAGATAAGAGTTCCTCAGGTTTGTATGTCCAAGTCTGGCTTTGAACCTTGTTCCTCAGATCTCAGCCTCTTGAGTAGTAAGGATTACAGAAATGAGCCACCAGGCTTCCAAATAGCATTTAATAAGTGGACTCAAACTAGGCCTGGAGAAGGTGAAGTTTAAATCCTTCAAACAATGAGAATTTTCTTTTCTTTTTTTTTGCGGGGGCGGGGGGAGTCTGGTCGTGGAGCCTGAACTTGGCCTGGGAGCTGTCCCTCAGCTCTTCAGCTCAAGGCTAGCGCTCTACCACTTGAGCCACAACGCCACTTCCGGCTTTTTGCTTATGTGGTGCTGAGGAATCGAACCCAGGGCTTCATGCATGCAAGGCAAGTGCTCTACCACTGAGCCACCTTCCCAGCCCTACAATGAGAATTTTCTTTGCAGGAAAGCTAATAACAAATTAATATTATATATGTCAATTAGACATCATTTTTAGAGAATATTTGTGTAACTGTTTATATTCTTTTTAGGAGTAGTACTGGAGTTTGAACTGAACTTAGGCCCTTTTGCTTACTAGGTAGAGGCCCTCTACCCCTTGAGCCATGTCCCCAGCCCTACAACTGTCTATATGTATTATGTTTACAGTTAATTTTAAAATGTCAACAGTTGTGTTTAAATGTACTACTAGTTGTTTTTTTTACTGGTGGGAGAGCTCACTACTACAAATGTCTATAAGATGTAGTGTTTTAAGTGGAAAGTGATCTATATAGTACAAAAACATAGGTGACAAATGCCAAGCTGCATTTGCTGTCAGATAAACATCTACGGGGAACGAGCATTTTTTTTTTTTGTCTCTGTGCTTTGGTCCTTTATGGGGCTTGAACTCAGGGCCTGGGCACTGTGCTTGAGCTCATTTGCTCAAGGCTAGCACTCTACCACTTGGAGCCACAGCTCCATTTCCGGTTTCTGGTGGTTAACTGGAAATAAAGAGTTTCACAGACTTTTCCTGCCCAGGCTGACTTTGAATTGCAGTCCTCAGATCTCAGCCTTCTGAGTAGCTAGGACTGCAGGTGTGAGCCACCAGCATCCACTATGGAATGTATATGTTTGCCATACCATTTTTCATCTGAACAAAGGCAGAAACAAATCTAGAATCTAGAAGCAATGATAATGATGTAGAGTAAGTAACACTGTTATTTTCTTCTGTCAATTATTTTTTCAGGATATTTAATATTGTGGCAATAGCCATACTGATCCTTGGAGATATAGATGCTGGAAGGCATCCTATCCAAGGAACCCAAGAGTGTTTTTGGAATACTGTATTCTTGGAATACATTTTTGAGTGGCACTAGAGTTATAAATTGCTGCAAGTTTATCAATAAAGGAAGCCAACTGAATTTGTGATCATCAAGTAAAAGGAAACTTTTACTCTTTAGTGGTATTGTTAATGTAGTACAAAACAGTTAGGGGGAAGTCTCCCATGTGTTTTCTAGAGCCAGAATCTGACCTACTTTCAAGCAAGGTTTCAATTATCACCCATCAGGCATATCAGTGAGAGAGGACGTGATATTGCTAGTCTGGTCTATGAAGATCAATTGAGTAAAATGAAAACAACTATAAAACTAGAAGCATCTATAGACAAATAGTTCCCTTGTTCCAGCTTAATTTTATTTTAATTACTAGAAATGAGAAAAAAAATCAGTAATACTTGGAACAAGAAGAGAATGGGCTCATGCATTCTAGGCAAGTTCTCTACCACTGAGAAAAACAACTGTGAGCAAAAGAAGTTTAAAATATATGAGAAAATGAAATCCCAAATTATGTAAAATCAGAATTCCTTCTTTGAAAGCAGCAAGGTAACTTTAGCAGTCAGTATTGAAGTGTAAAAAAGATTTAACAAAGCAGCAAAGTGAGAGTACTTTGTACATGTAGTATTCCATAAAGTTCCCGACTACTGATAAACTATCACAGGCAATAGAGTTACTATTAAAATGAGTATTATTTTTGGCTGATACCAGGGTTATTAACTCTGGGGTTCTTACTTTTTCCATTTGCTTCCTCTACCACGTTAGCCATATTTTTCTTTGAAGGTTAGTTTGGAGATGAAGTCCAAGGACCGTCCAGCCCAGGCTAGCTTTTATTTTTGTCTGCTGAGTAGCTAGGGTTATAGGCATGAGCCACTGGGGCCTACTCTAACTCATTTTCCTGTGGGCGTGTGTGTGTGTGCGTGCATGTGCATGTGTATGTGTACATTTATTTTTTTGACAGTTACCTCTCCCTTTACTTTCCCCCAGTTTCCCTTTCTCATCCCTGCCCACAAGTTACACTGGTCATTTTCCACACATTTTCCACATAGTATACACTGAATAATATTATTGCATTTGTTCACCATTCCAATTGTCATCCTCCTAATCTAATTTTTTTAAAGGTAATTCTAGAGGGGTTTTTGTAGAGCCATAGAGCTTAATTCCTGAACAGAGAAAATAAGCTACAAGGCCCAATGAACAAAGTATAAGTATTTATGAGTCACTAGTACATGAATGCTGGTATATACACAGAATTAAATATAAATGCTTCCTTATAGTCCACATAGTACAAAGTACCACTGAAAATACTTCTCAGTCAAGCTCTGAGCACTTTTTATTATTATCTTTAATTAATATACAAAGGAACTGCCATTTAATGAAGCATACAATTTATCTTCCCTTTCAACATTTTCACCCATCTCTCCCTTACTCCTCTCCTTTTCCTCACTCTCCATAATTTTGTAGGAGATAGGTTGGATTCTCTCTTTTATTTTGTCGGTCATGGGGCTTGAACTCAGCCCGAATGCTGCCCTTCAGCTCTTTAGCTCAAGGCTAGCGCTCTACCACTTGAGCCACAGTGCCACTTCCGGTTTTCTGAGTGGTCTATTGGAGATAAGAGTCTCTCGGACTTTCCTGCTCCAGCTGGCTTTGAACGGTGACCCTCAAATCTCAGCCTTCAGAGTAGCTAGGATTACAGGCATGAGCCACCTGCGCCAGGCTAGATTGGATTCTTATGTACATTTTCTGCCTCTTCTCTTCATCCATTTACCTTTTTCCCCTTGATCCCACCCACTCTTTTCAAGTATCTGCTTCCTGGAGTTTTATTTTATTGAAATTTGTTCCATTTCTAAGGAATTACAATGATTTGAGATCTCCTTTGAATATACCATATTCTAGTTAATACATTTGTTTATACTTGCATACTACCCAATGTATTCACTTACAGATTTATAAACTGAGCTTTTACATAAGGGAAAACATTCAGACTTTGTCTCTTTGGGCCTTACTACATTTAACATAATTTTTCCAGGTCTTTCCATTTCTTTACAAATAGTACAATATCTATCATTCTTTCTAATGGGTGAATAAAATTCCATAGTGTAAATATACCACATTTTCTTGATCCATTTGTCCATTAAGGGGCATCTGGGTTGATTTCCTACCTTAGGTATGGTGAACAGTGCTGCAATAATAAACATGGTTATGCTGGTGGATTTACTGTATCCTGGTATATAATCTTTTGGGTAAATCTGAGCATTCTTTTTAATGATCAACTGACTGAATTAAGATTCTGAAGGAGACAAAGGAGAGAAGGGGATAATGTCATACCTACACTTTGCTAAAATGTTCAAGTGGGAACGTAAGAGGATGTTAAGATGGAGAAGAAGTATATCGCAAAAACATGTTGGAATAAAATGCTTATTTCATAATTTTCCTGAAGGCCAGTTTGTAAAATGTACAATAATGTTATTGATCAACTTCACCAATAATTATCTTCTGTTCAAGTGAAGACTAATAATAATTACAACATAACAGTATAATTATCTTTAGAGTACCATTAATTTTGTAAGAATTATTTATTACATAATTATGTTTTATCTGAAAGCTTAAAGCACACACACTAAAAGCTGGGGACTGGTGGCTCATTCCTATAATCCTGGCTATTCAGGAGGTTGAGACCTGAGGGTCATGGTTTGAAGCCAGCCTGGGCAGGAAAGTCCATTAGACTCTTTTTTTTTTTTTGGGTCCGGTAGGGGGCTTGAACTCTGGGCCTGGGCGCTGTCCCTCAGCTCTTCAGCTCAAGGCTGGCGCTCTACCACTTGAGCCACAGCGCCACTTCCGGCTTTTTTCTTTTTGCTTATGTGATGCTGAGGAATCGAACCCAGGGCCTCAGGCATGCAAGGCAAGCACTCTACCACTGAGCCACCTTCCCAGCCCGGCCATTAGACTCTTATCTCCAATAAACTACTCAGAAAAAGCCAGGAGTAAAACTGTGGCTCAAGTGATAAGAGTGCTAGCCTTGAGCAAAGAAGCTGAGGACTCACTCAAGCTGGAATTCAAGCCCCAGAATCGACATAAAACAAACACTAAAATAAAAACAGCAAAAAATGTTTATAAATGAGCCGGGCACCGGTGGCTCATGCCTGTAATCCTAGCTACTCAGGAGGCTGAGATCTGAGGATCGTGGTTCAAAGCCAGCCCGGCAAGAAAGTCCCCGTGAAACTCTTATCTCCAATAAACCACCAGAAAACCAGAAGTGGCACTGTAGCTCAAGTGATAGAGAGCTCGGAGCTGAAGAGCAGTGCTCAGGCCCAGTGTTCAAGCCCTACCCCCCCCAAAACACACACACACACACACACACACACACACACACACACACACACACACACACACACACACACACACACACACACACACACACACACACACACACACACACACGAAAGGCTACGAGGCCACTACAGAATATGTTCAATTGATTGTTTTCTTGCTGTTTTATTAAGTATAGATTACTTTCCCTTTAAAATTCCAAATATTTTTTTTTTGTCGGTCGTGGGGCTTGAACTCTGGGCCTGGGTGCTGTCCCTCAGCTCTTCAGCTCAAAGCGAGCACTCTACCACTTGAGCCATAGCACCACTTCCGGTTTTCTGGTGGTTTATTGGAGATAGGAGTCTCACGGTCTCTCCTGCCCGGGCTGGCTTTGAACCGCGATCCTCAGATCTCAGCCTCCATAATTTTTAGGATTAAGATTTCCAACAAGCCATTTGTGGTATCTTAAATATTTACTCTCATCAGAGCACCTAATGGTTATTTCTATAGTCCTAGCTACTCAAGAAGCTGAAATCTAAGGATCTGGGCAGAAAAAGCAGTGAGACTCTAATCTTCAATTAACAAAAAAGCCAAAATTGGAGGTATGGCTCAAATGGTAGGGCACTAGCTATATGTGAAGAAGCCAAATGAGAACGTAAGGCCTGAGTTCAAGCCTTGGTACTGGCACATGTGCGTGTACGCATGTGCACACACACATGCATACACACACAAGTTTTATTCTCTAAACAATGCAATTTCATATCCTAATAACTATTTCATGAGTGATACTAAAACATTTCAACATGGTTTTATTTTTCTTCATTTGTCAGAATGAAATAGAAGAATGACTTTAGAATTAGTAAAATCTAGGTTGAATCTTATCTCCATCATTTATTTCCTAACTAGATAATCTTGAAGAAGCTGTTTCTCTGAGCTTTCCTTTCTTCACCTGTGACATAGAGACAATAAAAAAGACTTCATCCAAGATGTTAATGTATTAAACAGAGAAGCTCCTAGTAGAGTGATACAACATAAAGGCAATAGACTGAAGTTCTATTTCCATGATTTCAGCACTCCTTTAACATCAAATTCTGTATAGCAAATATTTGAACACTGCATAAGCAATTAAGAAAAGGGGGAGTCTACTTTCTTATTTTGAACAAACAGAGGTTTTACTTAAGTAAATTTTTGATGCTTGCTTTAATTTTAGGCTAATGAGATTTTTACATTTTGAAGAGAAACAACATACTCTCATCAAAACAACAACTAAACAACATTCATGAAACTAGTTAATATCTTGCATAGGAACTGTTAAAAATCTTTCTGGAAAGCAGTTTGGTGGTATCAAGGGGAGTATGTGTACCTATATATTTTATATATTGACTACAATAAGGATAATATAGAATATGCAGTTATTTACACTAATATATACTACTAAAAGATCAGATGCAATATGAATGTCCATCAAGAAAGAATTGGTTATAGCAATAGATATCTATAGCATCTAAATTATATGTAATTAGAAATATTATTTGCTTAAGGATATGTAGTGATGGCTACAAATAAATGTATCAGTCTTGGACATTTTGGCTATTTAAAAATTTTGTTTTATTGTTGTGTTTTTTAAACAAACTCTCACAATGTAGCCTAGGCTGGCTTTAACTCATTTAAATCCTCCTATATTTCATTCAGTCTCCCAAGTGCTGCCCATCTAGCTGGTACTTGATAAACTATTATTGTGTAAGCCACAAATAAGTAAACAAATTAAAAACTTATTTTATCTGATAATATGAAGACAAGTTACAAGTTTTAGTTGATTAAGTACATTACAAAAAATAGTAAATAAATCAATTATAAAAAAGGAACTACGTTTCTTAAATATACATTTAAATATATTATATATATATATACATTAAATATATTTACCTGATGATGAGGATGTTATTGCAGTTGAAGAAGATGAATCAAGAGATGGTCCAAAGAGAGGGTCCCAAGCAAGTAAATCACTGTTCCCTTTTCTTCCATATCATTAAAAAAAAAGTAAGAATTAGTATAAAATCTAATGGTTTTTTTGGTGCCTATCCTGGGACTTGAACTCAGGACCTGGGAACTGTCCCTGGGCTTTTTGGTTGTGGGTTAGCACTTTACCATTTGAACCACAGCTCTAGTTCCAGCTTTTTGATAGTTAATTAGGAGATAAAGGGTCTCACAAACTATCCTGCCCCAACTAACACCAGTGCCTGGTTAATAAGTTATTTTTATTTCACAAAATTCAAAGAGTTCAATATTCAGTGTTTAAAATCTGTGTGTTCTACCAATGGTTTACATGAAGAAATTTAATAAACAGCCTCAATAAACTGGCAGTTGAAGTTGGCAAGAGAAAGTGAAGATTAATTGCCCTCCTACCTTATCAAATGTTAGCAACCTTGATAAATGTTAGCAGCCTTGATACTGACAATTGTGGAAGGCTGTTGAAAAGTAGCAGAGAGTCTAAATGAGCTAGTGTCATACAGCTAGTGTATTCTAAAACAGTCTCAGCTCTGAGCTAGTGTCATACAGCTAGTGTATTCTAAAACAGTCTCAGCTCTGCTGACTCACACCTAGTACCCACTCTTGGATAGAAAGTTTAAGAAACACACAACTCATTAAAAATTTTATAAGCCACATTTATTTTCAAAGATGGAGAAAATAGGTAAAGGACTCTTTAAAAGTCATAAGTACATAAAAGTGGCTTAAATATTTTAATGTATCAAACAGTCATTATTCTAAAAATATTTTAGGAGATTTTAAATAGAAAGCACAACTACCCAAAAAATGTTAAAACTATCTAAAAATGTTTACCTAATATATCAACATGAATGTATGGAAGTGTATTACTAAGTTTGATAAAGCTTAAAAAGTTTAAAGTGCTAACGTATTTATCCTAAAAACATTAAATCCAATAAATACTACAACCATGGTCAGTTAGTGCTTCAAAGGCACCAAATAACTATTTTAAACTTAAACTATCTTTTTCCCTAAGCCTTTTTATAAAGGCTAACTCCTTTTTTTTTTTTTGGGGGGGGAGGGGGGGTCTGGTCGTGGGGCCTGAACAATGCGCCTGGGCACTGTCCCTCAGCTCTTCAGTTCAAGGCTAGGGCTCTACCATTTGAGCCACAGTGCCACTTCTGGCTTTTTTCTTTTTTCTTATGTGGTGCTGAGGAATTGAACCCAGGGCCTCATGCATGCAAGGCAAGAGCTCTGCCACTGAGCCACCTTCCCAGCCCTAGGCTAACTCCTTTTTAAGTTAAAAGATCAATTTAGCTAGCTGTGGGTGGCTCATACCTGTAATCCTAGCTACTCAAGAAGCTGAGATCTGAGGATCCTAGTTTGCAGCAATCCATGGCAGAAAAATTCATGAGACTTTTATCTCCAATTAACTACCAGAAAAAGCCAAAAGTGAAGCTGTCAACTAAGTGAGAAAAGTGCTAGCCTTGAACAAACAAACAAACAAACAAAAAGATAAAACAAAAAGCCTAGGTCTTGAATTCAAGTCCCAGGTTACAAATAAAGTCAATTTAAAGATAGTATTCTTTCTAATAAAGAAGTGAAGAGGAACTCATACAACTCTAACTTTTTTTTTTCTAAGACTGCTAAAGCCATCTTAATTCAAACACTTTCTCATTGAAATACAATTTATTTTAAAGTTGAAGCAGTGCCGGGCGCTGGTGGCTCACGCCTGTAATCCTAGCTACTCAGGAGGCTGAGATCTTAGGATCGCGGTTCAAAGCCAGCCTGGGCAGAAGAGACCGTGAAACTCCTATATCCAATAAACCACCAGAAAATCGGAAGTGGCGCTGTAGCTCAAGTGGTAGAGCGCTCGCTTTGAGCTGAAGAGCTGAGGGACAGTGCCCAGGCCCAGAGTTCAAGCCCCACAACCGACAAAAAAAAAATAAATAAAGTTGAAGCAGTGAGGCCACCAAGACAAAGTTCACTTAAATATTTTAATCACTGGAAAAAGAAATACTAAATTAATAAAGAACTTAAGACATTTAACACTCCAAGATGGCCATCTCATAGTTCAGAAATATGCCAACTAAGCTAGAGAGTTCCCTAGAGAAAAGAACAAAAGGAACCTATTTAAAATCTGTATTGGAAGAAAGGAAGGACTAAATAAGCAAAGTACAAATATTCTGTAAGATACTATAACGTAAGACACATAATTCGCATTATGCATTTATAAAAACCTACACAATATACAACATCAAGAGGGAACTCTTTAACTTATCAACTCAGAGTGATTGTAAACTCTGGTGGGGAATATATGAGAAATCTTTATACATTCTCTGAACCTAAAACTGCTCTAAAATATCGAAAAAAAATTTTCCTTTTTTTGTCAGCTGTAGGGCTTGAACTCAAGAGCCTGGACACTGTCCCAGAGCTTTTCTTCTCAAGGCTAGCAGTCTACCCATTTTGAGCCAGTTTTCTGGTAGTTCATTGGAGATAAGAATCTTAACAGATTTTCCTACCTGGACCAGCTTCAAATGGTGATCCTCAAATCTCAGCCTCCTAAGTAGCTAGGATTACAGGCATGAACAACTATCACCTGGCTATTACATCTATTTACCTGGCTATTACATCTATTTTTAAAAAATAAACAGGTAACTTACTCATTGGATGAAGCAGATGACTTTGATTTTGTTAACTCCTCATCTAATTAAAAAATTAAAACAAAAGATTCATAATCTGAGAAAATAATAAAAAGAGAAACTACCCACATATCCCAATCCTATGAACAATTTCAGAATTCTGGAACTGAAAACGAAAGTAATCAGAGGGAAAAACTTAAGCTGATTTTCCCTTGAACCTCAATTTCTTCCAACAGATTTGGGAAGAAATTATTTAAAATCAATCATGGTATTCACTAAAATAAACTTACTATTCAAGAGAGAGGAAGTATGAGCTGTAGCTTTAAAACTTAGGAGAAAAACATGTTTGCAAATTTTACTAAAGAATTTTAATTGATGAATCACAAAAGCAGATTTCAAGTTTTAAGAATATTATTAGTGATAATTATATTCACTAAAGGTAGTGATTAATCCTGTAGGCACTATTTTCAAATGAAAGTTTTAGAGCAACCTAGAGCACGTCTGTATTGCTGCCTATGCATTTGTTATGTGTCTTGTTTCACAAGTAAGTGATAAACAGGAGAATGGGATCAGTTACACAAAAGTCATGATAGTACCTCATGTTATACAACACTAAGAGGTGATGAACACCAAGAAAGTGAGTGTGAGTGCTATCGCACATTCCTGAGGAGTACTACATTCTTCTATGTGGCTTGGTTTAGCTGCTAAGTGTTTTGCCTCAAACCATTTATTGTACTATTTTCCATCTTTCTCCATTTGCCCTCATCTCCGTAATTCATCAGTCTCAGTTATCCTCTAAGGCTGGTAATGATGAAAAAACTATTTCTACAATTACACAGGGTTATAAGACAAAATGCCTGGTAGTTTTAGAGACATAACTGTCAACTTACTAGAGGAATTCCGATTCATCTGTACCTAAAACAGAAATGCAAAAACTAAGTACCATTGAACAAACAACTTAATTTGGCAATGAAATACTGCACAAAACGTTAATACTGGTAATCCTAGTTTTCAGCTGCTTTTAGTATATCTGATCAATTGTAAAATTTATTAACATAAAACAGAAACTTTTCACTATTTCTATAAGAAATAGCAATACAAGGACCTTTAATGATCAATAACATGTTCCTAAAATATTAAAACAACAACTACAGTGAGATACTATAACTTCTTTAAATAAAACACAAATTTTTGAAACCCAATGTTTAATGATCACAATGCTTTTTAAGTCAATATCAAAAACAGAAAATCTTGCACTTACTGGACTGTGTCTCTAGTGGTACATGGAAAAAAAAAAAAAGAAAGACAGTGTTCAGTATAGAATTTAGTCTTCCTATTTTGCTGCTTCTCTTTCCTTCTGAATTCTATCTAAAATAAACATTTTAAAACACAGACGTTGTTATTGTTGTTGTTGTTTGTCAGTCATGGGGCCTGAACTCTGGGCCTGGGTGCTGTCCCTCAGATCTTCAGCTCAAGGCTAGCGCTTTACCACTTGAGCCACAGCGCCACTTCCAGCTTTTTCTGCTTATGTGGTGCTGAGGAATCAAACCCAAGGCCTCATGCATGCAAGGCAAGCACTCTACCACTGAGCCACCTTCCCAGCCCAAAACCCAGACATTGTTAAGGAGCAAAAATTGAGTAACAATCAAACTCAAGCACAAGTGGCATCTTAACTACTCAGAAGAATTGAGATCAAAGGATCACAGTTTGAAGCCAGCCCTGCCAAGTCAATAAACCAGTAAAACGCTGGAAGTAGAGCTGTAGCTCAAGTGGGAGAGGACTAGCCTTGAGCAAAAAAGCAGACAGTACCCAGGTCCTGAGTTCAAATCTCAGTATTGACCTCTGCTCTAAATATAAAACAACAAACCAAAACAAAGTACACTCAAAGAACTTCTTTTCGAATCCAATGTTAACTATTAAAATTTTCTTGATTATTTTCTGAGTATAAAATTAATGCATATTTATTTTAAAACAAGTTGAAGAAAAAGAAGCACAAAAAAGAATCTACAACTATCTGTAATTTACTATCTAGAGGAGATAATCAACACTTTGGTATATTGGTGTTTCTCTAGGCTTTCATTTTATTTTATTTATCTGTGTATCTATTTTAAATTAGTCAGGCTCTTACACAATAATTTTTTTTTTTTTTTTGGTTGGTTGTGGGGCCTGAACTCTGTGCCTGGGTACTGTCCCTCAGCTCTTCAGCTCAAGGTTACTGCTCTACCACTTGAGCCACAGCGCTACTTCTGGTTTTTTTTTTTTCTTTCTGCTTATGTGGTACTGAGGAATCAAACCCAGGGCCTCATGCATGTAAGGCAAGCGCTCTACCACTGAGCCACCTTCCCAGCCCCACAATAAATTTTTAATGGTTTACAATTCTCTACTTCATATTTACATCAACTCTCTTTGTAACTAAGTATTAGTCACAATGTTACAAATAGTGATGCTACAATAAATCCTTTTTTTTTTTTTTGGGTCCGGTCATGGAGCCTGAACTCTGGGCCTGGGTGCTGTCCCTAAGCTCTTCAGCTCAAGGCTAGCGCTCTACCACTTGGGCCACAGGGCCACTTCCGGCTTATGTGGTGCTGAGGAATCAAACCCAGGGTCTCAGGCATGCAAGGCAAGCACTCCACCACTGAGCCACCTTCCACCTTCCCAGCCCCTCCTAAATCCTTCTTGGGATAGGGGTAAACTCAGTGACAGGATACCTGCCCAGCAAGCACAAGGCTCTGGGGTTTAATACTCAGCACCAGGGGTGGGAAAAGAGAGGAAGTAATCTTTTTAGAGGGAAAACAATAGTTTTTAAATTAAATTCTAAAAGTGAGTATCTGGAAAAAAAACTTTTTTACAAAGTAACAGGCAGAGGTTACTTAAAATATATAATTAGGTAATTTAAAATGTAAGAAAGCTAGACACCCTGGTGGCTGCAATCCTAGCTACTCACAAAGCTGAGAGCAGGCCAAGAGGTGGTACTTACTTCTGTAATCCTAGCGACTCAAATAACTTAGATCAGAGCATTGCAGTTTGAAGCTAGCTGGGAGCAGGAAAGTCCATTAAACTCTGATTGCCATTAACCACCAAAAAGTTGGAAATGGAGCTGTGGCTAGCTCCTTGAGCAAAAAGTTCCAGGACATGACCCAGGGTATGAGTTCAAATCCCAGGACTGGCACCAAAAAAGAAAGTGAGCAGAGTTGATTTTACAATAAAAAGTTAGATGTGTGTGTGTGTGTGTGTCTGTGTGTGTGTAAGAAAAAGAGAGGATGGGGGGAGGGAGAGAGAGGGGTGAAGGAAGGAAGGTGAGGAAGGGAGGAAAAGAAGGGAGGGAAGGAAGGGAGGAGAGAGGGACCGAGGGAGGGAGGGAGGGATCTGATGAGTCCTGATTCAAAGCCAGACTGGGCAGGAAAGCCCTAGAGGTTCCATTTCTAACATAGCCAGCCAAAAAAAAAGTAGGACTAAAGTAATAGAGTGCCAGTCTAACAAGTGTAAGGTCCTGAATTCAAAGCCTGTATTGCAAGAGAGAGAGAGAGAGAGAGAAGAGAGAGAAGGAGAGAGAAGGAGAGGAAGAGAGGGAGGGAGGGAGGGAGGGAGGGAAGGAGGGAGGGAGGGAAGGGAAGGGAAGGACAGATGGAAGGGAGAGAGCAAGAGAGCGAGAGCGAGAGGGGGGGAGGGAGGGAGGGAGTCAAAAAAGTGAGAACTTCTGTTCATTATGAGAAAAACTAAATTCATCAATTAAGAAAATGTACAGACCCACTTAACGTTCTAAGATATGCTTTTTCTCACATAGGTAATACTTCTGAATTCAGAATGACATTATCAAGGGGGAGATATTATCGAAACTTTTATTACAGATATGTTTTATTTCTTCCACAAAAGCAAATGTTAATGATATACAAAAAGGGAAAATATAAAGGGGCTTGGAGTGTTGCTCAGCAGAATAGTACCTACCTAGCATTCAAAAGAGGAAATAGTTCACTCCCAACCCCAGTACCAAAAAAATAAAAGCAAAGAATTAATTGGAATTTCCTTTTATGTAATGTTTATAAAACATAAAAGTAAAACTTTAGAATTAGAGGGGGGAAAGATTAATACTGCAAATTCACAAAGTCTGCCTGAGATCTATATATATATATATATATATATATATATAGAGAGAGAGAGAGAGAGAGAGAGAGAGAGAGAGAGCTGTGTATAAAAATTTGAAGAAATGCTGGGTGCTGGTGGCTCATTCCTGTAATCCTACCTACTCAGGAGGCTGAGATCTGAGGATCAAGGTTCAAAGCCAGCCCAGGCAGGAAAGTCCACGAGACTCTTATCGCCAATAAATCACTAGAAAACTGGAAGTGGCGCTGTGGCTCAAGCAGTAGCAGGCTCGCCTTGAGCTGAGGGATTGTGCCCAAGCCCAGAGTTCAAGCCCCACGACCAACCAAAAACATTAATAAAAATTTAAAGACATAGTTGTGAATTTTCCACTTTTGTAAAATACTTTCAAAATCAAGGTAAAAGCCAAACCCAAAGTGTATATAAAAATAATAAACTAATATTTTCTCACGAAAAATGCTTTAGATTAAATGATGTCTTTCTTACTTTTTTCTTAAAATTAACAAGATGCAGTAAATAAGGCAAAAATAAATACATAATGACTTCTACAACAGAGTAGAAATTTGTTCAGGTTTTCACTTACAGATATTGCTGGGGAGAGTGATATATTCCCTATGGATACTTTCAATTCATCCAAAGAAGCCATTGTGTGGTGTGAGTTACTTGGATGCATAGGCTTAATTTCTATGCGGTACTTCTTTGGTTCTTCATCTTCAGAGTCAGAATCACTAGATGAATAAAAATGATTCTCTTTGGTATGTGAGTATCAGTTAAAGAATTTAGTTTTTAAATTGCCTTAATGCCTAATCAGTTTTCCCCACACTTATATAAAACGAAACACAACCCTTAAGGGTAAAATAAATTAACAAATGAACTACCACTTTTATTAACAAAAACATATAAAATGAAGAACAGTCATGGTTTATTATAACTAATTTAAAAACTGAAGTCTTTTAACATTGTGTGTGCATTTTGTTTTGCTGGTTTTGTGCTTATACTGAGGCTTGAACTCAGGACCTCATACTCAACATTTTTTCTTTTTTGCTCAAAGCTGTCACCCTATCCCTTGTGGGATGCTCCCAGTTCTGGCTTTTTCTTTTTTGGGAGGGGGGTTAATTGGAGGTAAGAGTTTTGTGGATTTATCTGTATTGGCTTACTTTTGACTTCAATCTTTAGATCTATGGTTCTTGAGCAGCCGGAATTGTAAGCAAGAGTCATTGTGCCCAGCAACACTGTTTTTCATATGCAACACAATCTCTAAGAATACCCCAAATAATGAAAGGATATCATTCTGATTTGCTTCTGGTTTAATACTATAGCCTTCTTCGTCTACATCAGGAATGTTCTATGGGAAAAAAAAAAAACAATTATTATAACAATTCCAAAATACAAAAGTATTATTAATTAGCCAAACAGCCTTAAATATTTCTGAGAAATTAAATCACTTATCAAATACCAATAGGTTCATAGAACTATTAGCATCACAGGAAAATTAACTTGTTTTTAGTTAATCAGCTTCAAATAATCTATGCTTCAGATGTCCGAACACCTGCAAAAACAGACAGAATTACAACTCAAAATTTCAAGGTATAAAAATTACAGCAGCCGGGGGCTGGGGTTTAGCCCAGCGGAAGGGCGATCGCCCGGTGCGGTGCGCGCCCGGCACGCGTACGGCCCTGGGTTCAATCCTCAGCCCTGGGGAAAAAAAAAAAATTACAGCGGCCGGACGCTGGTGGCTCACTTCTATAATCCTAGCTACTCAGGAGGCTGAGATCTGAGGATCGTGGTTCGAAGCCAGCCTGAGCAGGAAAGTCATGAGACTCTTATCTCCAGAAAGCCGGAGTGGCCCTGTGACTCAAGCTTGCCTTGAACTGAAGAGCTGAGGGATAGCGCCCAAGCCCAGAGTTCAAGCCTCACAACCAACCACAACAACAAGCCGCTGGGCACCAGCGGCTCACGCCTGCAATCCTAGCTACTCAGGAGTCTGAGATCTGAGGATTGTGGTTCAAAGCAATCCCGGGCAGGAAAGTCCATGAGACTCTTATCGCCAATAAACCACCAGGAAACCGGAAGTGGTGCTGTGGCTGAAGCGGTAGAGCGCTAGCCTTGCGCTGAAGAGCTGAGGGACAGTGCCCAGGCCCAGAGTTCAAGCCCCACAACCGACAAAAATAGATAAATAAATAATTATATATTATAAAAAGGTAAAGTCCAATTTGGAGTGTTCAAAATCTATTATTTCCACTGGAGGCATGGCTCAAGTTACAGAGCACCAGCCAACCACTGAGTGTGAGGTCTTGAGCTCAAACCCCACTATCACCAAAATCTACCATTTCTTTCATGAATTAAAAAGGCTATTCTTTAAAAATGCACTTTTGGGGGGGGGGGTGATGGGAAGGGGGTGATGGGAAGGGGAAGGGGAAACAAAAAAGGAGGCAACAATGCTTGATAAGAAATGTACTCATTATCTTGCCCATGTAATTGTAACCCCTCTGTACGGTATTTTCACAATAAAAAAAAAAAGGAAAGAAAAAAGAAAAAATGCACTTTTAAGCTAAATAGTCTCAATACTATCAAAAGGTATATGGAAAAAGAAATATAATGTTTCACTGAGTTGCTTAAAGTCTAAGTGAGCTAATAAACTCTAGGACAGTGCATAAATATATATCAACATCTTACAGTTATTAGTGCTTCTTGAAAAGGTAGCCTTAATAGAAAACAAAAACTGAAATGCAATCAGCAAAATCAGACTAAAAGAACTACCAAAGCAAACTTCCCAGTCTCTTCAACAAATAAAAGTTAAAGAAGGAAGGGGAATCTACAGATCAAAGGAGATTTAGACATACCAACAAAATAAAAGTGTAATAAAACTGGCATTAAGCTGAGTACCAGTGGTTTACGCCTGTAATCCTAGCTACTGAAGAGGCTGAGATCTGAGGATGAAGAGGCTGAGATCTGAGGATCGCAGTTCAAAGCCAGCCCCAGTAGGAAAGTCTGTGAGATTCTTATTTCCAATTAACCACCAGAAAACTGGAAGTGGTGCTGTGGCTCAAACGGTAGAGAATTCACCTTGAACTCAGGGACATCGCCCAGGCCCAGAGTTCAAGCCCCACGAGTGGCAAAAACACACAAAAAAATCCAAAAAACTGGCATTGAAAGCTAATAATAAATAATAAAGACAAACACTGAAAGGCTTCTTGAAAACAGTAAGGAGTTAGCAGAATTGTTTTCCAGCATGATGGCATTTTGATTATGTTTCAGACATACACAATGTTTCATCAGTTAGAATATATTATTCGGTTATCTGGGGATGGAAAGTGGACAGGAAGAATTGGTTATGGAAAACTTGCAGCTGGTTGATGAGTACATGAGATATTATGGTACTACTGAATGTATTTTGCATTTACTTAAAATTCAATATAATAAAAAGTTACTAAAAATCTAGCTGGCAGTATAAAACACAGCAAGTTACTAAATATTCTGGCTTGGCTGTAAATTAGTTTCAAAACATTTTAAGAGCTTTTCTGTTCATATCATAAAATTTCCACAGGTGTAGAGAACAAAGAACATGATGAATAAAGAAATCTATCATAAACCAAGATATAGAAAGTAGATAGCTCAGGTGCACAGTTAATATTTACTTTTTCAAGGTAAAAGAAATGGTAAACCTGAACACTGATGAGGAGTCAACAAATATAGATGTTATAAAAATAAGAAGAGATACACTGGGAGGAATATATTTTAAAACAAGAAAAAAAGAGATAAAATTCTTGGGTCTGAGGAACTGGAGCGGGGGAGGTGGTAAATAAAAAAGAGAAGAAGGGCTGGGAAGGTGGCTCAGTGGTAGAGTGCTTACCTTACATGCATGAGGCCCTGAGTTTGATTCCTCAGCACCACATAAGCAGAAGAAAAAAAAGAGCCGGAAGTGGCGCTGTGGCTCAAGTGGTAGAGTGCTAGCCTTGAGCTGAAGAGCTAAGGGACAGTGCCCAGGCCCAGAGTTCAGGCCCCACGACCAGACCGCCCCCCCCCCCCCAAAAAAAACACTGGAAAAATCTGAACAAACTAAACCTGGATGTCTATAGAAGAGAACATTGACATCAAAGGAATCAAGGAGAGGAACACTTTCTTAGTTCCTGGAAATACACATGGAAGTATTTAGAGGTAAAGGACTATAATATACTAACATATTAAAATGAATCATAAAATAAATAATATAAATACATGTTCATATAGAAAAAGAACAAAATGTTTAGTAAAGCAAATGTAGTAGAAAAGTAAAATGGACCTAGAATTCTGTGTATTATTTTGTTATTATTTCAAAATAAAAAGTTATACCTTCCTGCCAAATCTAGCAATTTAGAAGATGAAAAGCTAGGGTGAAGATGGAAAAATAATATCTCATGGAAAACAGATTCCATGAATAAAGAGATGGCAGATGTCATAGTTATAGTAACAGAAATACTACACTTACTTTCAGTATTATATACTGCTTGTTAATATATAGATATTACTATGTGGAATACTTAAAAAGTTAGAAACTTTCTAAGTGTGGCTTCATTAGAAAAGCTAAGATTTTTCAAGATATTTTATCCCTACTCCAAGTATGCTAGATTTTGCTTTCCACAGTTTCAGTTATCTGTGGTCAATTGTGGTCTGAAAATATGAAACTAAAAATTCCAGAAATAAAAAAATCTACACATTTTAAGTAACTTTTATTATGGTAATTTTTATAGCTATTCTACTTATTGTTGTTAATCTTTTACTGTGCTTAACTTATGAAATTATCACAGGCCTAAATACACATAGGGAAAAACTGATATATAACCATATATATATATATATATATATATATATATATATATACACATATATATGTATATATATGTGTCAAGAGCTACATATGTATATATCTGACATGTATTTGTTTATGTATAAGTATATAAACAGATAAATGCATACATGGTAAGATGAGGGGGTGTTATGTCTTCTGCAGGTTCCATCTAGAATTTGGTAATTGATACTACTTTGCTTAAAATGTATTATATAGTATGATGTAATAATTTTAAATGAAATCAATCTGTTTTCTACGAGATTTTAAATTATATGCACCACATAAAAAAATGGCAAATGTGGGCTGGGAAGGTGGCTCAGTGGTAGAGTGCTTGGCTTGCATGCATGAGGCCCTGGGCTCGATTCCTCAGCACCACATATGCAGAAAAAGCCAGAAGTGGCGCTGTGGCTCAAGTGGTAGAGCGCTAGCCTTGAGCTGAAGAGCTGAGGGACAGCACCCCGGCCCAGAGTTCAGGCCCCACAACCGGCAAAAAAAAAAAGGCAAATGTTTGAGATGATGGATTTATCATCCATCTGGATTTATCTGAATATTACTGTAAAAAGACACTGAAATGTAATACCTGATAAATACGTGTGATTACTATACCAAAAATAAAAATGTTAAATTTTTAAGTGTTAATTTAAAAATTAACTTCTAAAGTAAATTTTTAAATTTTATTAAGATAGAGATTGGCAACTACATATGATATACCAGAAAACCACTTCACATACAGGTAAGTGGAAAAAAAAAGTGTAAGAAATATCAAGCAAACATTAGTATTATTATGTAAATAAGGCAAAAATGTGTCAAATTAAGAGTGATTGTCTTGGCACTAAAGTAGATTTCAGAAGAAAATTAACAGAGCATTAAGGAACCTAAGATATACACAAACACTTCTGACAGCCTCAAACTAGAAACTACTAAAATATGCTTTAATAGGTGAATGATTAAACCAACTTTGGAATATTTAATTCCTGGAATACTACTCAGCAATAGAAAAGAACAAACTCTTTATATAAATAACAACTAGATAAATCTGAAGAGAACTGTGATGCATGGAAAAAGCCAATCTCAAAGAGCACTATATAATTCCCTTTATAAAATATTCTGGGTTAACAAAATTATAGAAATACAGAAGAGATTAGTGGCTGACAGAGATTAAGATAGGGGAAGAGAAAGAAAAGTACTTAGTTAAAAAAAAAAAAAGACAACCAACATGAGGGATCTTTGTGGTAATGAACTGAATGAGGATGCTATCACAGTTGTGATAGTTTTACTAGACATCTCCTTCAGGAGAAAGGAATGGTGGGTATGTAAGATTGTTCTCTCCTAGTTTTGGAATCTTCCATATATCTAAAATTATTTCCAAAGAAAATGTAGTTTGTGATTTTTGGTAGTACTGGAGTTTTAACTTGGGGCCTTGTGTTTGCTGGGCTTGCTAGCCATGTCTCTAGCCCCAAAAAGTTAATTTTTTTAAAGCAGTGATTCAAAGCACACTAGTTTTTCAGTGCTAAGACTATTCAAAGAAATACGATATGATACTAACAAAAACTTACACAGTACCTTGTATTTATCCTTCCTCATCTACTTAGGGTTTTTACAGTAGAGTCCCACACTGCTAAAGTGAAACATTAAGTTAAAAGCAACATGAAGAACAGAACAGGCAGCCAGGCGCCAGTGGCTCACGCCTGTAATCCTAGCTACTCAGGAGGCTGAAATCTGAGGATCACAGTTCAAAGCCATCCCGGGTAGGAAATTCCATGAGACTCTTATCTCCAATAAGTAGTGCTATGGCTCAAGTGGTAGAGCACTTGCCTTGAGCTAAAGAAAGCAGGGAAAGTGCCCAAGCTGAGAGTTCAAGCCCCATGACCAACAACAAAAAAGAACAGAACAGGTAATTTCACCTATCAATTTTAAAGATAACTGTGACGGGTAGTAGTGTTTTCTACACTATGAGGAAGTTCAAGAGTCAATGGACATGGTCCCACCTTACTTGGTAGACAATGATCAGGAGTATCTCTGGGCTAGAGTTACTGAGATTGCATGACAATCAATATATGAGTGCAGTGGCATGCACCTATCTATCCTAGCCAGGCAGGAAACACAATTAATATGACCTTGGTCCATGGCTTAAGTGATAGAATACTTGCCTAGAAAGCATGAGACCCTAAGGTCAACCTCCAGCACCCCCCCAAAAAAGAAGTCACTGGAATGTCAATGGAATTGGGAGACATTGGCCAAAAACAACAATTACACTTCTTACATTCCAAAGAAAAAGTTCCTCAAATTAATTTAAAGGTCTTCAAAGGAGAACAGCAATCAACAATAATTTCCCTACCAAGAGAATCTAATCATGTTTTTTTAAAATAACTAGTAATGTAAAGCCATAAATGGATCATAAGTAATAATTGGCCATAAATATAAGAGAACAACAGAAATGACCATCTTCTTTCCCTGTTGATCATCACTGTAACCAAAGGTAACTTACTGTCCAAAGGTTGTGACTCATTCTTCAAAGGGGAAAAAAAAAAAAAAATCACACATATGCCAAGACCATACTTCATTTTAATTAATTTCTTTCCATATGGGCCAAAACAGATCAACCTAATTCTTTGTAACTTCTATTACCTGATCACCAAGTGAATGTTTAATCATTTAACCAGTTCTTATTTTGACAATTGCTTTGGTGGTCTACTTTTTGCTATTATGATGTTTCCCCTTCTATATATGTATATATCTGATCAAAAGTATTTTTGCATGTATATACCGTAGGTACAGGATGTTCTGCAAACACAACCATAACAATAATTCCAAGTAGGAGATTTCGTACTTAAAAAGAAAACACTTTATTGAGTGTCAATGTCACTACCAAATTATCTACAAGACTGTACCACTTTCTATTTGTTTTTTGTTTTTTTTGGGTCCAGTCGTGGGGCCTGAACTCTGGGCCTGGGCGCTGTCCCTCAGCTCTTCAGCTCAAGGCTAGCACTCTACCACTTGAGCCACAGCGCCACTTCTGGCTTTTTTCTTTTTGCTTATGTGGTGCTAAGGAATCGAACCCAAGGCCTTGAGCATGCAAGGCAAGCGCTCTACCGCTGAGCCACCTTCCCAGCCCTCTATTTCTGTTAACAGTGACAATGTATTAAAAAATTCCTAATACCAGGCAACAATGGCTCACGCCCGTAAATCCTAGCTACTCAGGAGGGTGAGATCTGAGGATCTCAGTTCAAAGCCAGCAAGTCCCAGCCCGGGCAGGAAAGTCCATGAGAGTCTTATCTCCAATAAACTTCTCAGAAAACCAAAGTGGAGCTGTGGCTCAAGTGGTAGAAGCTCTAGCCTTGAGCTGAAGAACTGAGGGACAGACAGCGCCCAGGCCCAGAGTTCAAGCCCCACGACTGACCAAAAGAAAAAGAAAATTCCTAATATGATTGCAGAATATACTGTTCAATTTATATCACTTTTGAGTAATACTCATTATGGTTGTTCATCACATTTCCTTTTATGAAAATCTAATTTCTTCCTATGTCCTTTCCCTATTAGCACTTAATTTTTATATTAATTGGAATGATTACTTTAAAAATAAAAACAAATATCCCTGTGTAACATATCCTGAAAACATGCTCTACCAGCGTACTGATAACTGAAATTCTTTTTTGTTTTTTTGGGTCCGGTCTTGGGGCCTGAACTCTGGGCCTGGACGCTGTCCCTCAGCTCTTCAGCTCAAGGCTAGCACTCTACCACTTGAGCCACAGCGCCACTTCCGGCTTCTTTCTTTTTGCTTATGTGGTGCTAAGGAATTGAACCCAGGGCCTCATGCATGCAAGGCAAGCACTCTACCACTGAGCCACCTTCCCAGCCCGGTGTGGTTTTTAATTTATTTATTTTATTTTATTTTTTTGTCAGTCATGGGGCTTGAACACAGGGCCTGGGCGCTGTCCCTGAGCCTCTCTGTGTTCAAGACTATAGCTCTACCACTTGAGCCACAAAGCCACTTCCCTGAAATTCTTCTAAGTTGTATTTTTTTCTAATTAGATTTTTCCATTTCTACACAGCCACATTTACCAATCTCTTCTTGCATAGATTAGAATTTCATGTTCTCTCTAGCCCTTTCTTAATTCATTATAAGTACTGGCTAAAGTTTAAAAGTAGATAACACTGATCATCAGAAAGAGTGTCAATCTGCTACTAAGACAATCAAAGCCATTTAAGGAAGTATATATAAAAGAAACAAAGTACTGAAGGATTTTATTCAACGTAGCAACCATTTAAAATAAAGGCTATAAATAATTAGATGCAAACTAAAATGCATGAGAGCTATAGTGAATGCTAAACACATTTGCTGTTTCATTAATCAGTTAATCAAGGCATCAAGAGTAAATGTTTCTTAACTCCAAAAACACTGATGATCTTAACTCCAAATCCTACCAGAAATCTATTTGATTTTCATATAATTTCGTAAATCATAACTTTCTTTTAAAAATGCTGAACATTTAAAAAGAAATATAGAAGAAAAATTCTAGTTTACTTAAGCTAAGGTATATAAAACATGTTTCACAAAACATTTTTAGTTCTATATTTTGGTACATCATTATACCCTAAAAGATCAAAATATTCCAAAGGAAATAACAGTTGTGTGATAAGAACAATAAGCAAAAGAGAATAATTGAAATTCCTACACTTATCAACATGGTGTCTAATGAACAGTTTGAAAATGTATCTATCAATCAGCACATAATTTACAGATTCATAAATCTACTCTGCCACTGTACCACCAGAAGCTCCATTTAGTACCTTCTTTAATTATATACACATTAACAATTACATTTAATCAAGTAAATAACCTTTCTTTAAACTAAAGGCACAGAAAAATACTGACCATGATTGTTGTAATTATTTCTAATATGATAATCTCTTAACTGAAAACCCAAATTCATGAACAGGTGAGGGTGTACTTTACACAGCTGAGACTGAATCAGTAAGGGCAACACATTTTAAAATACAGCCTGTAGATCTTCTCTCTGGCGTGTTTCCCAAGCAGGTGAAGGGGGGTAGGGAAGGGAGGGGAAACATGCTGGTATGGCACAATGTCAATTTTGAAAGTATAAAGTCCAGTTTTTACAGAAGTGAGAAATACTTTCTACTTAACAGGAAAGTATATGGCAATGTAAAATCAAAACTGATTTTTAAAAATAATTTTAACAATAAACTTTAATATGTTTGGTATTTTTCTTTTAAAGATTGGCTAGCAACTCAAATATGCTTTTCTGTTTTAATGAAAACAGCAAATTTAAATTGTATCAAGGTTAAATCTACTTACAAGTGAATCTGCATCAGGACATTCCCTATTAAAGCAAACAAAGTATTAGAAACATTCAACTATTAGCACTATCTGTTTAATTACATATTTTTAAAATATGAGCCAAATTATTTCAAGCAATTCTAAGGACAGTACCATAATATTTGCTGAAACAAAATATAGCTTACAAATACTCTAAAAATTATTTTCAACAGCATTTTTTCTCCTATGAAAATATTCATATCGTATCAAAACTTGTCATTACTATAAGGCTTTCAAATCTTTTTATTATCCAAGTAGAGGCAAAAAATAGTTAAAATCCTTTATAAAGAAAAAAAAAGGCTTGGCTTTAAAAAGCAAGGTCTAGCTGAGCACTGTGGCTTATGCCTATAATCCTAGCTTCTTAATAGGCTGAAATCTGAGATTCTCAATTTGAAGCAGTGTGGACAAAAACTGTCTGTAAGGCCCCATCCTCAATCAATAAAATGCCAACTGGGAGCAAGGCTCAAGGATCAAGTGGTAGAATGACAGTTGTGAGCAAGAAAGCCAAGAGCCCTTAGTTTAAGCTTCAGCATAAAAAAAAGACAAGGTCTATATTTAAAGCCAGCAATCTAAATACTTAAAGTCAATTGATAACTTTATATTTGATAAATAAAAATTTTTAATTATAATTTTTTAAATACCACCCTTTCATTTGATGTACTTTTTGTAACAGCATATACAGAAGTCACAACTAGTTTTTCCATATATTCTAGATGAACAGACTTCTCCTTGGAATGACTTTCTAGTATAATGCAATAGAGTTGACAAATAATATTTTATCATTTAACTGATGAACAAATTAATGCATGCACACAAACTAGTGAAAATTATTGCTTGAAATGTAAAATAAAAACATAAAGATAAAAATTTCATAAAGTTAAAGCTACTGAGGCCATGAGAATTAGGTTCTCATTCTTCTCAGAATTTCTTAAGAATTTCTATGTATATAATCTGAAACAAGCAGATTTAGAATGCATTTTGGACTTCAACTTGAGACAATTAATATATATATCAGAATCTTCTAGAAACAGGTAATGTCAATCTACCCAAGATTAGCACAAAGCAGAAAAATTTACAAGCTGAAATTCTGTTAAAGAAAGATAGGATGGAACAATTTTTTTAAATGAAAAGCAAAGAGATCCTTTTAATTCAAGTGAAATATTCAACAAACACTAGATCCACTTAAAAATCAGTTTTATTTTTTTAAAAAATCACCTTTTAAAGCCAGTCTTAATGGCACAAGCCCATAATCCCAGCTATACTAGAAGATGACACCAGAGGATCACCTGAACCTAGGAGCTTGAGACCAGCCTAGACAACATAGCAAGGCCCAGTTTCAAAAAAACAGTAACAACAACAACAAAAAACCACCAGTCACTGGTGGCTCACACTGTAATCCTAACTACTTGGGAGGCAGATAGCTGGAAGATCAAAGTTATGGTCCAGTACAGGCAAAACAGTTCATGAGGCTCCATCCTAACAAAAAAAGCTATGCATGTTGGCTCATCCCTGTCATGTACTACCGAAGTATAAATAGGAGTACTGTGGTCAGGCCATATTGGACAATGATTAAGACCTTATCGTTAAAAAGAAAAAAAGTCTAGAGTTATGGATCAAGTGGTACAGCAAGCATGAAACACTGAGTTCCAACCCAGTATCATAAAAAGTCACTTAAAATTACAAATTTTAGAACTTACTTTTCTTATTGGTAAAGATTATTATGTTAAAAAAAAAAAAAAAGGTAAGCCAGGCACCAATGGCTCACACCTGTAATCCTAGCTACTCAAGAGACTGAGATCTGAGGACTGCAACTCAAAACTAGCCCAGGCAGGAAAGTCCATGAGACTCTTATCTCCAATAAACTTCTCAGAAAAAGCTGGAAGTGGGGCTGGGAAGGTGGCTCAGTAGTAGAGTGCTTGCCTTGCATGCATGTGGCCCTGGATTTGATTCCTCAACAACATATAAACAGAAAAAGCTAGAAGTGGGGCTATGGCTCAAGTGGTAGAGTGCTAGCCTTGAGCTGAAGAGCTGAGTGAGGGACAGCGCCCACTCTCAGAGTTCAAGCCCTAGACTAGTAAGGGGAAAGAAAAAAAAAAAAACATACTTGGTGGGAATGTTCTAGAAAAGGCCAATAATAATAAATTTATTATGTCTACACTGCAGGAGTAGGGAACCTTGACCCATAGGCCATACAAGGTCCTCATGATAATTTGGTACATGCTAGATATACATGCTTCCAGTCAGCTGCCCTCAGTTGTCTGTCTTGTTAATTTTGTAAGGCTCGAGAATGGCATTATTAGTATACCAACAGCCCTTGGTAGAATAAAGGTTTCCCATTCCTAGTCGAGAATAAAAATCAAGGAAACGTTAGGACTCTTCTATGTTTCTTTAAAAAATAAACAAAAAGGAAATCCCAAGACTCCTTAAACCTGAAATGTTCTGGGTGCAATTTATTGTCGCTTTGAAACACAACTCCCCAGTCTTTGTGGTAAAGCTCTCATCGCATCTGTTTGCCTCCACAGTGTCTGCAGAAGACCTACATATGAAGACCAAGGAAGATAAACATCTGAGCAGGACCTATCTTTCAATTACAACATCTTAAAATTGGGCCTTCATGCTATGAGGAAAAAGCAAGAGAAGAATGTCTGGCATTTCTAGTGAATTCTAGCCTTGTTCCTGCTAAGAAGTTTGAAAGAAGGTGATGACAATGATATGGTTTCTGTGTTGGCTTTCTGTTCTTGTATGCTCAGTTAACAAATAATAGTCCAATACTAAAGCAGGTTTGACGGTACATACATATAGTCTCAGGTATCAGCAGAAGGAGGCAAGAAGATTTTTTAATTCCAGAAATCAAAATCCTGAATAATTAAGACCCTAACTTGGAAAAAAAATTAAAGAAAAATTCCAGTATCCTAATAGTACTATGATCAGATTGGAAAAAAAAAATATATATATATATATATATATATATATATATATATATTTTTTTTTTTTTTTTTTTTTTTTTTTTTTTTGGTCAGTCATGGGGCTTAAAGTCAGGGCCTGAGCACTGTCCCTGAGCTTCTTTTTTGCTAAAGGCTAACACTCTACCACTTGAGCCACAGTGCCACTTCTGGCTTTTTCTGTTTATGTGGTACTAAGGATTGAACCTAGGGCTTCATGCATGTTAGGCAAGCACTCTACCACTAGGTCATATTCCCAGCCCCAGATTGGGAAATTCTTAATGGTGAAAACTATTTCAAAAACAAGTCAAAAAATAAAATAAAAATACTTAAGATAAACATTCTTTGTAACACAGTCACAAACAGATGTGACTTCATTTTTAAAATCTGCTTATTGCCGGGCACCGGTGGCTCATGCCTATAGTCCTAGCTACTCAGGAGGCTGAGATCTGAGGATCACGGTTCAAAGCCAGCCCAGGCAAGAAAGTCCGTGAAACTCTAATCTCCAATAAACCACCAGAAAACCAGAAGTGGTGCTGTAGCTCAAGTGGTAGAGTGCTAGCCTTGAGCTGAAGGGCTAAGGGACAGCGCTCAGGCCCAGAGTTCAAGCTCCATGCCCGACAAAAATAACTAACTAACTAAATAAATAAATAATCTGCTTTCGAATCAGTTGTTTAAGTTTCACTATTTCTAATATTGTAAGAAGAAATTAGGCTCCACAGCAAAATATCTCTTCATAAATGTCCAAGGAAGGTATTTGCAAGAAAGATGATAATCATGGATATAAATTGTTCTGCACTTAGTCTTAATCTGTTAGTTAAATGTCACTTGGGCAGAAAAAAAGCAGCAAACATTTATAATCAGAAAAACTCTTGAAGAACTTGGTTAATAGTAGAAGATAAAAATATCCAAAGCACTGATTATTCTTTAAGGCTGAAAATATAAATGCCCATCAAAGTTTTAAATCACATGGGAGTTCCACAGATTATGTTAAAGAAGAAATTTTAAAATAATTTTCAATAGTATTACAACAAATCATTCAAGACTTTTGATCAGTTGTTTCTTCCGTCTAAACAGACTGAGCAATTACTGAAAAACTCCTTTACATCTGATTTGTCTGGATTAATCATAGCTCAATGTTTCTCAACCCTACTTATATACTAGGAATCACACAGACTGCCTAAAACAAATAAAACAACTATGTGAGGTCTCATACACTGGGAGAATCTGATTTGTCTCAAATTGGTCCTAGCTATCATAGACATATTTAATACCTCCAGTAGTTCTAATAAGTAGTCAAATAGAAAATTTTGTTTTGTTAGTAAGTTCAAATTCTTATGTACTAACTATAAATTCTTTGTACACTAGTTTGTATTTTGTTTTTTTAATTTGCCAGTCCTGGGGCTTGAACTCAGAGACTGAGCAATGTCCCTGGGTTCTTTTGTTAAGGTTAGTACTCTACCACTTGAGCCACAGTTTCACTTCTAGCTTTTTTTGGTAGTTCAATGTAGATAAGCCTCACAGACTTTCCTGCCCAGGATGGCTTTGAACTGTGATCCTCAGATATCAGCCTCCTGAGTAGCTAGGATTACTGGTGTGAGCTACTGGCACCTAGTTGGTTTCTTATTTTTAAAAGACAGTAAGACTCACAAATGGATTCCATATAAAAACAAGAGCTACTACAAATGATAAAACATGTTAGGTCTCCTTCCATATAACGAACCCCAATTTACCCTAGAAAGATTTTCAGCAAATAGCTGATCAGATTACAGAAACTGGTAAAGTATTCTCGAAATAATGGGGGGAGGTAATTAATTAGAAGTTTCACATTTTACCTTAGGTAAGTAATACTGATAAAATTTCAGTTTTCTCTGTAGTTTAAATTTCATATAGCATTTTACAAAATGAGAATACTTTTTTTTTTTTTTTTTTTTTTGCTGTTCTGGGGCTCAAACTCTGGGTTTGGGTACTGACCCTGAGCTCCTTTTGGCGCAAGTGTAGCACATGAGCCACAGTGCCGCTTTTTTTATGACTAATTTCAGGTAAGAGTCTCATGGATTTTCCTGCCTGGGCTGGCTTCAAACCGTGATCCTCAGATCTCAGCCTCCTGAGTAGCTAAGATTACAGGTGTGAACCACTGGCACCAGGCAAAGAATACTTTTCAAGGTCAGTTTCAAATCACTACAGTTTTCAACTGTGCTGTCTTAAGATTTTAAAGTAATTAACAAGAAAGTTTAATGCCCTGAACCAAAACCAAAGGAAATGGTAAATTAATTTACTTAGAAGTCTTTGGATTCTTTTACACAGTTTAAACATAAATTCAGAGTTATTTATAAGACTTTTTTCTTTCTATATTCAAAACAAACCTTATTCTTAATCACTTGTAACAGTGAAAATGATTTAGGCAATATTTAAAATACTTACACAGATTCTGCATCTTTTTCCTTTTTTATTATTCCTGGCAAAGCGAAAGTCTTTCTTTTCCTTGGTTTTATGCCTTTAAGATAAATGTATATTGTTACAGAAACATAACTGTTCTTAACAAACATATGGAACAATGAATACTTTAGGGCAAATTTGTTCCCATTGGTGCAAAACTTGTGAAAGAAATAAAAAGAATAAATCACTAGACTCAAGTATTTAAGTCAGTCATAATCTGTTTAAACTCTTAATTATGTTAATATAATATAGTCTCAAATAAAATTATAGAACAGTCACTTAATAAATGAAAGCCTTTTTTCTTCATCTCAGTCTCCCCTATGTCACCTCAGGCAAATTAGCATATGGAGATAACTCAAAAATTCAAAGAAAGTATTGCCCAGTATATCAGACTGGTTATGTATGAGGGTCAAATCATATTCCCTATATAAAAGGTCACAAAATACAAATGTGCTGTTTTAAGTCACGACACAAATAGAAGTAGAAAATTAAAGCTCATAATGTGGAACCTCTGTGTATAAACGTTATCTCCAAAATCATCTTTTTCCTAGTATATCAGTAACTCATCCTCATCTTACATGATAAATTATCTTTAAGGTCTGTGATTGAACTACTTGTTGAACTAACTGGTTGGTCTAATTGCTGATAGAACTTAGCACTTAAACTTCATTAGCTGTTTGTTTATTCTTTAAGAAGTAAGCAGTTTACTTTTATGTAACTGTAACCCCTCTATACATCAGCTTGACAATAATTTTTTTTTAATTTAAATTAAAAAGAAAAAAATAAAAATAAAAATAAAAAAAATTCTATGAAATGAACTCCAAGAAAAGAAAACACGTTTCATTCTTTAGTTGTCATTGCTGCATTTTTGCTTTCTTTTCCTTTTGTCTTGTTTATTTGCTTGTATTTGGAGGGCAAGAGATGCACGTAAAAGGTGGAACAAAGATGAACAAATACAACAGTGATACTAGATACTATGTGGAAAATGAACTTATGGGTGGGTGGGAAACATAATTCAAAAAAATTCTATTGATTGTACCTGACTCATGTAACTGTAACCCCTCTATATATCAACTATACAAAAACAATAAAAAATTAAAATAATTAGAAAAAAAGAAGCAAGCAGCAAGAGAACTCTGATGAACTAAGTTAACACCGCATACCCCAGAGACGGGTCTGTTTTAACTTCTCTTTGAAAAACAAAAAAAATTTAAGCGGTGCGCTGGTGGCTCACGCCTGTAATCCTAGCTAATCAGGAGACTGAGATCTGAGGGTCATGGTTCAAAGCCAGCCTTGGCAGGAAAGTCTGTGAGACTCTTATCTCCAATTAGCCGCGAAAAAACCAGAAATGGTGCCGTGGCTCAAGTGGTAGAGTGCTCACCTTGAGCTGAAGAGCTCAGAGACAGAGCCCAGGCCCAGAGTTCAGACCCCACGACTGACCAAAAAAATAAATAATTTTTGTGTGTACTGTGGTTTGAACTCAGATTCCCACATTTGCTAGTAGGCAGACACTCTCATAGCTGAGCCACTCCTCCATTCCTGGTATTTTTGCTGATTTATTTTGAGGTGGGATCTTGCCTCCTGCCTATACATATGCCTAAGAACAAACCATCTACGTTAGGCTTTCTATGTAGCTAGGATGACAAGCTTGAGACTGTGCCAGTTTTTTATTGAGATGGGGTCTGGAAAACTTTTCTGCCTAGCTGGCCTCTAACTATGATCCTTCCAATCTTAGCCTAAGTATTATTTTTGTCCTTAACTCACAACAAGAACTCAGGTGTTATGGAGTAATGGACTTATTATCATGCAAAGCTAGTGACCTAAGCCACACATTTGTAAATCTTATGAAGCCCAGGTCTCAAGACTATTGATTAGCCCAATAATAAACATATATACTGTAACAAATCATTTTTACAAAGAAAAAATGAAACACTGATTCCAAGTTATTTCTATCAAAGTGAAATAATCTCATTTTGTAAGACATATAAAATATGAAAAAATAGTAGGGATCTTGGGTTTTAAGCTATAAAAAAGACACCTACTTACAAAGAAGCCAGGCTGGTTGTAGACCCTTCCTCCCATTCTACTTAAAAACTCATTTTGAATAATGATAATACTAAAACTAATTCATAATCTCATTAATAAAGGAAATGTTATCCTTTTCAGAGTAACCACTATTCATTAATATGTAATGATAAGAATCGTATTTATGACATTAGAAAATTTAAAGATGTATGTTAAAAGAGAACAATCCTTGGAAGTGGTGCTGTGGCTCAAGCGGTAGAGTGCTTGCCTTGAGCTGAAGAGTACAGGGACATCGCCCAAGCCCAGAGTTCAAGCCCCACGACCAACAAAAAAAAAAAAAAAAAAAAGAAGCAGCAGCAGCTCAGGGACAGGCCCCAGGCCCCAAGTTCACCCCCCAAGACCAGCAAAACAAAAACACAAAAAAGAGAACAATCCTCAATATATATTTAAAAACAAATGCACATTTTATTTTTGGCTGGGTATGGCTCAGCCATAGAGCACTTATTAGCCTATGTGAGACTTTTGGTTAAATTTCCAGCGTAACAAAGTATGTATTTTTATACACTAATATTTCTTTGGGCAATACATTACTAATTTAGTAAGTAACAATTAATGTCTGTAGACTTCCAAACTACAACTCCACAGTATGCTAGTCAAATAGCTATCTGCTCCTCTTTGTTACCATGTGTGATGTTAACACTAGCACTTACCTTCAACAGCACTCGTAGGGTCACATTCTTCAAATTCAATAAGACCTGGAGAAAAAGAAAAGGACAACCTGTAGTTGAAAATAATTATTAATGGGGCTGGGAAGGTGGCTCAGTGGTAAAGCGCTTGTCTTGCATGCCTGAGGCCCTGGGTTCGATCCCTCAGCACCACATAAGCAAAAAGAAAAAAGCCAGAAGTGGCAGTGTGGCTCAAGTGGTAGAGCGCTAGCCTTGAGCTGAAGGGACAGCGCCCAGGCCCAGAGTTCAGGCCCCACGACCGGACCCAAAAAAAAAGAAAATAATTATCAAATATATACAGGTTTAATCATTAGTTTTTTACATTTTTTATTTTAACATTGCACGACATCTTTTAAGTTGTCCTGTAACATGTTCTATAATTATCTGATAATTAAAATATCTATAATTATTTAAATAAGCCAAACAATGAAACAACTGATACTTGCTTATTTCCTGAAATTCACAATAATTTACTAAAAATACTTTATATGTGATACTATAGAACTAGAGACACAGATTGAGCAGTTTCTTCTTTCAAGGAGTTTGTTGCACAGTTACTTGCTTCTGTTATGGGAAAAAGTTATCCACAGTGAGTAGTATTAGAATGTAAGCCGAGTAACTACTTCTTCCTGTTCACAACTCTACCCTAGAATACTAGGCAAACACCAAGTCTCAAGTAAATACTTGTTGAGGAATAAATCAATTATATGCTAATTAGGTAGTAGTCCCAGGATTATAATCCAGATCTGTCTTAAATTTATTAGAAGGTTAAGGAATATGAACTGTAATTTGTAGGCAATGGGAAGAGTTTTAATGTGACAAAGGTTTCTCATATAAACATATACCTCAGGCAAAGTGGTATTATAGAAAAATAATTTTTTACTAAAATGAAGGACAGGTTGTAGAAAAGAGATTATAAAGTAGAAGTCAGTTACAAATTACCAAAATAGCCCTAAAATAATAAAACTGTAGAGACCCCAGCTAGTTTGTGAAATATTTATAAATTTATTATTATATGTAATTCGTACAGCCTTCTCTTTTTTTTTTTTTTTTTTTTTGGTCAGTTGTGGGGTTTGGGACTTAAACTCAGGTCTTGGGCATTGTCCCTGAGCTCTTTTGCTTAAGGCTAGTGCTCTACCACCACTGTGAGCCACACAGTCCCATTTCTGTTTTGGGGGGGGCTTTTTTTGATTGGTCATGGGGCTTGAACTCTGGGCCTGCACACTATCCCTCAGCTATTCAGCTCAAGGCTAGTGCTCTACCATTTGAGCCACAGCACCACTTCCAGTTTTCTGAGTAGTTTATTGGAGATAAGAGTCTCACAGCCTTTCCTGCCTGAGCTGGCTTTTTTTTTTCTTTTTTTCACTTAAAAAATTTTTTTAAATTGTGAAAATACTGTACAGAGGGGTTACAATTACTTGAGCAAGATAATGAACACATTTCTTATCAAGCATTGTTGACTCCTCCTTTGTTTCCCTTACCATCTCCCCCCCACCCCCAGCCCCCTCCCAAGCCAAAGTTGTAAAGTTCGTTTTTGGACATAACGTCTTGTACATCTTATTGTTGCAATTAGTCCACTTGTAACCCTATTTAAACAATTTGTTTTTTCCCTTCCCCTCCACAAATTATATCAACATCAAATACAGTGAAAACAGGGTTTATACTGTGGGGAAGGGACATACAAAGCAACAAAGAAATCATATAGCGCCTTATAAATATGTTAGAAACCATAGCAAGAAAGAAAAAACATTTGAGTCCTTATCTTGGGGTTCATTTCGCCTAACATCAGATGCCCCTCAGTAGATGAATGGATCAAGAAAATGTGGTAGGGGAGAGGGGGGGAGTATGGGAAGGGGAAACAAAGAGGCGGCAACACTGCTTGATAAGAAATGTACTCGCTATCTTGCCCATGTAATTTTAACTCCTCTGTGTGGTATTCTCACAATAAAAAATAAAAGAAAATGTGGTATACATACACATGGAATTCTATGCCTCCATCAGAAAGAATGACATTGCCCCATTTGTTAGGAAATGGAAAGACTTGGAAAAAATTATATTAAGTGAAGTAAGCCAGGCCCAAAGAAACATAGGTCCCATGGTTTCCCTTATTTGCAATAACTGGTATATGTCTGAGACAAGCTGCCTGGGCTGGCTTTGAACCTCGATCCTCAGATCTCAGCCTCCTGAGTAGCTAGGATTACAGGCGTGAGCCAATGGCATCCCGCCCCATTTCCAGTTTTTGAGTGCACAATCTACATTTTTAAGAACTTTAAAAATAGACTGAAGAGAAGATGTAACAGAGGATTTCCCTACTAGCTCTTTTGATCCTTAGAACTATTTGCAAACTGATTGCATCAGTTCTTACACCGGTGGCTCACGTCTGTTCATTCTGATTGGCCCCAAGACCAGCAAAAAAAAGAAGAAAATCACTCAGTAAAAATAAATATTTCTCTTCAGGGAGAAAAGATCTATAAGAATTGGCTAAATGTCCTTCTCCCTTACTCTAAGATATACTTCTGATTGGTCCTAGTTTCTGTTCAAGTCAAATAAATTTACACCGGGAGCATGGCTTAAGTGGTAAAATACCTGCTAGATAAGCATAAAGCCCTGAATTCAAAATCTAGTACTGTCCCCCCCCAAAGACAGATTTACATTTGATGCTAAGTAGAACAAATAGTAATAAAAAGGATTTGTTAAATAAAATCCATATCAATTAATACCTTCCTTTCTATGTCATTGTTCTGTAACATATCAGTTGTATTCAAAAGCTTTTTTCTTTTTTGTCAGTCATGAGGCTTAACTCAGGGCCGGGGTTGTCCCTGAGTTTCTTTGTTCAAGGCTAGCACTCAACCACTTTGAGTCCCAACTCTACTTTTGGCTTTTTAGGTGGTTAATTGGAGATAAAAGTCTCACAGACTTTCATACCTGGACTGGCTTTGAACCACGATTCTCAGATCTCAGCCTCCTAAGTATCTAGGATCATGAGCTCCAGGCAGCCAGCTACTCAAAGTTTTAAACTAACAGTATCTCATTATGTATTATTATTATTGGCTTTTCTAAGTTCTAGGCAATATAACTATTTGTCAAATATATCTGAGACAGAGTTCATCCAAAAAGAGCAATTAAAAATGTGGTTAGTCAAATATTCTCTTGCTGGGTTAACTGTTGGCTCATGTGTAATCCTAGCTCCTCAGGAGTCTGAGATTCTGAGGATCATGGGCTGAAGCAAGTCCTGGCAGACAAAACCATGAGACTCTCACCTCAAAAAGTAAGAACTGAAGGCATAGCTCCAGTGGTAAAGTGCTAGAATAAGCAGAAAAAGCTAAATAGTAACTCAAGACCCAAGTTTACATCCTAGTACTTGCAATTAAAAAACAAAACAAAATAAATCTCTAAAAGGCTTATAGTCTAGCATAATAAAGGCCCTGTTTTTAATCCACGGCACATTAAAAAAAGGAAAAAAAACTCCTAATTTGCACCCATCACTGTAAGAATCAATTGGGCATGGACTTATTCTAGAGAGAAAGATAATGGTAAAAAAAAATATCAATACAAACAAATTGAATTATTTACAAATATTTTAACTAGAGGGAATCAGGGAAAAACATGCAACAGCGGAACCCATCAGCTGCACTGGACATTGACCAAAATGAACTAAGCAAATCAATGGCAGCGATGGGAGGGAGGGAACAAGTGGGAAAGAGGAAACAGCTGATGCTATGCAAAACAAAACAAATGTACATATCACCCAATGTGGAAGAAATAACTGTACTGAAAAGCTCATAAATGTTGTAGACCATGATAGACAATTTGCCCCATGAAAGTTAGAATGTGTTTGTGACTTTTAACTAAGCATCACTATCCCACAATACTGTGAAATTTGGGAAATTATATAACCACTTAATCAAAATAACAATTTTGAAAAAAAATATACCTAAATATACACTTATATCATCTCATCAAACATGGAATACATAGAAAATTATCTTTTAAGATCTTTGGATGAGGGGGCTGGGAAGGTGGCTCAGTGGTAGAGTGCTTGCCTTGCATGCATGAGGCCCTGGGTTCGATTCCTCAGACCATATAAGAAAAAAGAAAAAAAGAAAAAGAAAAAAAAGCCGGAAGTGGCGCTGTAGCTCAAATGGTAGAGCGCTAGCCTTGAGCTGAAGCGCTGAGGGACAGCACCCAGGCCCAGAGTTCAGGCCCCACGACCGGACACCCCCCCCCCCCCAAAAAATATTTGGATGAGCTGGGCACCGGTGGCTCATGCCTGTAATCGTAACTACTCAGGAGGGTGAAATTTAAGGATCATGGTTCAAAGCCAGCCTGAGATCCTTATCTCCAATTAACCAACTGAAAACCAGAAGTTGCATTGTGGCTCAAGTGGTAGAGTGCTGGCCTTGAGCTGAAGAGCTTAGGGACAGGGTCCAGGCCCAGAATTCAAGTCCCAAGACCGACCCCCCCCCCCCAAAAAAAAAAAAAAAAAAAAAAAAAAAGATCTTTGGATGATTACATGTATGTGAAAATAGTAAGGTCATCTCTCAACTATAAAATCAATCCCCTTACAATGGAGGGGGTAACAATGCTCAATAGGAAGTGTACTCATTACCTTGTTCATGTAACTGTAACCCTCTGTATAGTATCTTTACAATAAAAAATTTTTAAAAATTGTTTTGAAAAAAAAAATCAATCCCCTTAAATAAAATTCAACATTTTTTTCCTTCATAAACCTTTTCACTACACATATATTCCTTGATTATTTCCCTCATCTTTTTAAACATCTTAAAATCTATCTGAAATAGCAAAGTGCCCAAGGAAAATATTCAAAATAACAAACATTTCTGAAATATAAAAATGTCAAATTTTCCAAATTCAAGTCAATTAAAACATGTAAAAATGTCTGAGAACAATCCATGTAAACATTTCTATTAATGACAGAAATACAACAGCTCTCAGTACAATGAAACTTTAAAAATTAAATATGTACAAAAAGATTTCTTTCTTCAGACAGCACATATTCCATATGCTCC